TTATAGATGAAGAGCCTGAGGTTCAGGGAGCTTAAATAACGTGTTCAGGGACTCACAGCTGCATCTGAGTCCAGATCCAATCTGGGTAGCCTGGCTCCAGAGCCACAGTCTTCCCCATCCACTCTCCTGCCTCTCCAGCTGTGTTTGAGACTGGATCCCTGAGGAACAGAAGCCACTTGTCAGTGTCCTGCCTGGACACCATCTTTAAGGGAGGTGCCGACAAACTGAGAGATGCCCCCTGAGCCCTGAAATGCATGCGCTCTGAGGGCTGGTTGGAAGTCTGGGGATGTGTATCCTGGAGATGGGGAGGCTTGGCCTGGTTTCCTGGCTCTGCCGAGTGCTGTGGCCACACTGAGATGCAAAGGCAGCGTGGAGGATGGTTGGGCAGACTTCACCGAGAAGGAGCCATGGGAGCTGGACCTGGAAGGACAAAGCCATTTGCTTCATGGGCAAGTTGGGGAAGGCTGTCCCAGCTGGAGGGAGCAGCTTAGATAAAAGCTCTGAGGTGTAAAACAGCAAAGCCTTGTTCAGGGAAGGGTGGGTGGTATGGTCTGGCTGGAGCAGGAGGGGTTGTATGGGAGTGATGGCAGATAAGCCCACACAGAGTCTGGGGTTTTCTCTGTGCATCCTGCGGGTTGGTAGGCGGGGATCTAAGCTCCTTGGAGCTGCAGAGGAAGCTCTTTTCCCATGCTGCTGGCTGGCAGGACCATGCCTGCTGCTCCCTGTGCAGCCACTTCCCTAATGTGCTCAGCCTTGGGGGGGCATCCCCTTGGGAAGCATACTCTGTGCTGTGCCTCTCGGGACAGCCCCTAGGGCTCCTCCGCACTTGCTTTGGCCAGCTCGTGGACATCTGAGCTGCCTCTGGGGTGCTGGCAGGAGTTCTTCCTTCTGTACCCCAAGACCAATCCGAGGACTTGCTGGTTGAGGAAGCCTTTGGAAGCTTTTCTGGGTGTTGCCAGTAAAGCTGTCCATGGGGGTGTCCAGCAGTGGAGAAAGAAGGTCTGGATCTAGTGTGTCCGGAGGCATGAGGCAGACCAGAAGAAGGGCCCATTTTTACTTACCTGTTTATCCACAGGGAGTGTTTTGAACTGGGATGGTTTGGGAGACTAGGGAAGGCAGGGAGGCAGAAAGTGCTGAAAATTCTTTGGTCTCCATATTGATCCCCAAGATCTTCCACTGGCAAGGGAAAAATAAAGCAGGAAGGTGTGTCCAGACAGAGTTAGATGTGCAAGACATTTACTGGGGGGAGGAGAGAGGGAGTAGAGGAGCCAGGAGAGTCTTCAGACTGAGATGCAGGTCTGATGCCTGTAAAGGGAGGGAGGAAAGGAAGGATGATTAGGTCGGAGGAGCTCAGACTACAGTGCAGCTCTGAGAAAGTCTCAGGCAGGCCGACCGGGGGCTCCAGAGTCAAGGCTGCCTGTTGGGGAGTCCTGCGTGGGGCGGGAATGGCCCGGCTCCAGCACCTCTGCTGTGCGCCAACACTGGGAGGAGCCCGAGAACAGCACAGGCTTGGAGCGAACACAGCTGGCTCCTGAAGCTGTGGCCGCTGGAGGCCATCTGCCACCTGCACTCCTTGCAGCAGGCTCTCCTGAAGAGAGGCAGGAGGCAGCACACTCCCGGGGCTGTGGAGAGAACCTCTATTTGGAGATAAGGTGACAGGCTCAGCCCTCAAAGTCAGAGTCGAGGATTTACGAGGTAAAAGGTTCTGGAAAGACAACCCTCACGTTTTCGTGTGGCACAGTCGTCAAGTCACAGAATGGAAGCATCATGTGAAAGGTGCTCCTGGCGAAGGCCCAGGCTCATGGCACTCGCTCGGTCCCAGAGCCAGAACCTGATGGAGAAGAGAGACAGCCCCCAGCACCAGTCATAGGTGCCAAGGGGGCGTGTTTTCCTGGGAGTCGTGCACCCCACATTCTCGTCCTGACCCTCTATCAGGTCACTGGGCAAGCCCTTGGCATTGTCCAACCTTCCGTTTCCCTAAATGTGAAGTGAGGGAGCTGGCCGAAGCGACTGCAGAAAGCCCTCTGGACCAGATTCTCAGTCAGGATTACAGTCCATCCTCAGTGTATCAGCTGCTGGACGTGGGGTGTTTAAAGCGGCCTGTGTGCGAGCCTCCTTCCTTACCAGCAGTTGGACGCTGCTCCAGGTGCAGCCTTCTGTCTGGCTGCCTCAGCTGGGGCCTCTCAGAACCTAGTGCAATTTTTTTGCAAAAGACTCTAGCCCCGGACCCCCCTATAAGGCCCCGTGACTGGTGTGCCTGTGAAGGCCCCAGAGCCAATGGGCAGGAGAGCAGCCAGGGATGGAAGAAGAGGCTTCCATACAGGTGGCCAGAGGGGACCCTGCTCCTGGACCTTAAAACTGTAAAACTGCCACGTGGCCCTGTGACCCAAACCAGAGGCCACAGTGGGATGCGCTGGAGGAATAGGCCCCCGCATTTTGCAAAGCTACCTTGTTTCAAACTCTCTCCTCTGGTTGATGTCAGAACCCTGGATGCAACCAAACTCCTGAGAGCCCCCACCCATGGCATCCACTCCTGACCCTTTGGCAGGAGGCACAGGCCTTTGGCGTCAGATTTCTCAGGGGATGAGTGCATTATAATAAACAGACTTTGTAAAGTTATTTTTTTTAATACTTGAGACTTTTTTTAGGAAGGACTCTATGGTAGGCTGAATAATGGCCCCCAAAGATGTCCACATGCTAATTTTCAGGACCTGACCTGTGAATGTTACCTTACTTGGCAAAAAGGACTTTGCAGCTGTGATTAAGTTAAGGCTTGTGAGAGGGGAGATTGTCCTGGATTATGTGGGTGGGCCCAGTGGAATCACGAGGGTCCTTATAAGAGGGACACAGGAGGGTCAGAGACAGAGAAGAAAGTGATGTGATGACAGAAGCAGAGGGTGGAGTGATCCCCACTGAAGAAGGAGGAAGGGCCCACCAGCCGAGGAATGTAGGCGGCCACTGGAATCTGCAAAAGGCCGGGAAGAGAGTCTCCCCTGGAGCCTTGCAAGGCCCCAGCCCTGCCAACACCCTAACTGCTGACCAAGTGAGATTGGTTTTGGACTTCTGACCTCCAAGACTAAGAAAATGAATTTCTGTTGTTTTAGGCCACTACGTTTGTGGTAATTCGTTATAGTAGCCACAGAAAGCTAATGCCAATTCCAAAAGGGATGTTTTCTCAGCTTTGCCACCTACCAGTTTCACATCTTGAACTAAGATGCTTCAAAGAAACTGCCATCTCCCTGAGTCTGCAGAATTCCAAAACAATAGACATCCTTAGAAATACTGCAGACCCACCCACAGGATGTGTGCCGGGTGAAGGGGTGGGCAGGGGAGCTGGCTCTTCCTGTGGACGAGACAGCAGAGCGAGGTCACTGTTGGTGGCTGCTGCTTAGGGCTTAATATACCACGGCCTTTGCATGTGGGCACTAGCCGTGTCTTGGGGCTGACGTGTGTGCTCTGTTGCTCAAGTCAAGGTCACAGTGAAAGCTATGTGGTGTATGTGGTGTGGGTCAGGCTGCAAATCCACATGAGAGATTGCTGCTTTTTGTAATTGCATCCTCGAATGGAAGAGACGGTGCCTACAAGCCAGGTCAGCAGTCTTAGCGACAAGCCAAATTTAGAGGCAGGCTAAGATGTCTTTATTCCAGAAAAGAATTTGAGATTGTGTGGAGGCAAAATTGGGGCTGTAAATCAAAGACAATTCCAAATTTCCAAGCTTTTGTCACCCTGCACCTTTCTTAAGGTGCATTTGCTGCACAGATGGAGGAGGAGACTGGAAGGGAGAAGTCAAGTGGATCTGATGAGACTGAGTGGAGTGGTGGGAGGGAGATAGTAGAGGGAAAACTGAGGGGGTGGGTACAGACCACAAGTTCAGGGACTCTGGCCATGGTGGGAAGGAGACTGACAGTAGCTAGAAGGGGTAGTGCAGTCGGGTACAAAGATCTTTTGTTTGTTAGTTTTTTAAGGATTGGAAGGCCTAGATGAGTTTGAAAACAGAATGTAAGTAACTTAAATGAGGGAAGAAATGAAACTACTGGAAAGGGCTGGCTATTGGAGTTAAGGACTTTGAGACTATGGGAAGGTGTGGAGCTGAGGGTCAGTGGTACAAGAGAGAGAGCATCCTCTCCTCCAAGGCCGGGGGAGGGAGGGAGGTCAAAATGAGGTCAATATAGAGTGGGATGCAAGCTCTTTTCCACTGTTCTGAGTGGTACCACAGAGGCACCCCAAACCTGGCCACAGTGCTGGACACAGAAGCTCCCATCTGGCTTTCTAGAAAATCCAGTGTAGATGCACACTGTACATGAGGTTGAGGAAAGTAGAACACTGATTTGCCTACCCAACAGAATACAGATTTGCACTGCTTTATAGCAGTGGCTTTAAAGAGAGATGGGGTTTGTGTTGTGCCCATAAGAATCCCAGCTGTTGGGCAGTCAAGGACATCAGCTCTGTGGGTTCATCCAGAGCCAGGTTTCCTCTCTCTCATTGCTCCACCATCTCTAGGGCATGGTTCTCACCTGCTGGGCGAGGCTGACCCATCGGTACATGTCGACATTCCAGCCCCCAGGGAAAGAGCAAGAGCAGGTCCACCCGAAGGTTACACGTATCACTTCTGTTCATCTTATGACCACACCGGACTGCAAGGAGGCTGGGGAATGTGGTTGTTCTGGGGAGCCATGTGCCAAGCTAAAATGCAGGAGATTCTAGTGCCAAAAGCGGAAGAAGGAACAGATATTGGGGGACAAATAGCCATTTCTGCTATTTGTCAGAAGCTGTGTGGGCTTCTGACCTAAGCATGCATGGGTGTGAATCCTGGCTCTGCAAGTAACTTCACCTCCCTGAGCTTCATTCTTCTATAAAATGGGACCAGGGACCATGGGGACCACCGTGCACACAGGTCATGTTGATACATAAGCAGCTGGTGGAAGCACCTGCCAGGGGCCTGGAACACAGTGGCACACGCAGTACCTCTGACTTCCCACTTTTCCCCCTCTCTGCCCTAGGGAAACCAGTGTACCTGCACATCGGGGAGGAGATAGATGGCGTGGACATGCGAGCCGAGGTCGGGCTCCTGAGCCGGAACATTGTGGTGATGGGGGAGACGGAGGATGAATGCTACCCTTACAGCAAGCACATCTGCAACTTCTTTGACTTTGATACCTTTGGAGGCCACATCAAGGTATGAGTCTGCCTGGCTGCGGCTACAACCCAGCCAGGAGAATTCCCACAATGCCAGCCTGTGGGCGGGAGCTCTTGGTAGGGAAGAGGATGGAGGAGTGGGAGGTAGGACCAAGAGAAGAATACCTTCTGGAAGTTGGAGGAGTCTTATGTATTATCCATTGGCATGTTGTTCTGCCTGTCAATACTTGGCAACGAGAGAGGTGATGGAGCCAACCTGGGAACGTCTCTTGACTCCCCAGGCATGTGGCACCTGTCACACTGTGCTCCCTGCCTTCATGATTTTCAACCCCAATCATTGCTTTCATTCCCTTTCTTCATTATTTAACCCTGATCACTTTCTAAAAGAACTGGCATTTAACTCACAGAAAGTCACGTTTACAATAGAGCCATTAAAATACAGATAAATGATTAGCAGGCAAGAGGAACTAGAAGTTCGAGCATTAAATTTACCTGTGAGTCTCCTGGTGGAGAATCAAGGCGGTGATGGGGACAATGAACTGCAGAGCTCTCACTGCGCAATAAAGGAAAATGATATTAGTTCACTGGAGCTCACATTTCCTGGTATTAAGCTCAAAGAAGAATTTGTTTTGCATCTGCATATAAAGTGGCTTTATCTGGCATATTGAATAGCATAAGACACCCAAAAGTTCTTCACGTGGCCATTGCTTTCAGTGAATCAGGATTAAGCTGATAGATTAATAGTATCTTAGAGTTTTGTGAAGACAATTCTCTTAAGCTAAAATCATAGGCTTTAAGGATACGACTTTCTGGTAATCTAACTGAAAAGAACAGTGAAGTGAAACTTACAGAGTTCATAATGGGTGCCCTACTGGTATTTTAGGTAAGCCAATTTTTTGTCTTGCTGGCCTATATTACAGGATTTCTAGCATCCCTGGTCCCTGCTCATTAAGTGCTAGTAGTGCTCCCTAGTCATTGCAACCACCAAAAACACTTACACGTATTTCCAGTCAGTTTATGAGGATGGGCTGGGGGCTGGAGTGGCGGTACTGTCCACGGTTGAGAAACTTGTTAGAGAGACTAGAGCAGAAATAGCAGATTTGTGTCACACAAGCTGCTGCAACCCCATTTCCAGTTCTGAGAGTAATCCCTTAGTGCTCAGAGCATTCCTCCCCACTTTTCCCAAACTAGGCCTCAGAATCATTCTCAACACAGCTCTTCAGGGCACCACTACTGGAGTTGGCATTCCAGTTGACACATATTTTTGGAAGGAATGGTTAACATGTCCTTAAGATCATCCTTCTCTAGTAGAAGTTGGCTGAGCCCAACATTTGACAAGAGTCATTTCAGACTGTGCTTTTACATTGAGCTCCTGAAGTGCAGACACTCAGTGTGGTCAGGTGGTTCCCTTGAGCAAGCTGGGAATGGCTCCAGGTGTACTATAAAGTGAGCATGTAGAGTACCCCACAACTCACACACAGGCTACCAGAGTCATGGGCTCATGAAAACTCCCAGCTCAGTATCCCCTCACTCCCCCAGGAGAGGTGCTCAGATGGGGGACCATGGCACAGGCTCTTTCTGCCCCATGGTCCACCCTGTCCTGGATTCCCCAACCCTCCTAGGGCATGCTTTTAGTGAGCCTCCCTCCAGAGGTATGCCTTCATCATAACACTCACTGGCTTAGGAGGCAGGAAAAGAGGGTTGAAGTAAGCCCCAACTATTGCTTGGTCCCTCTGCACTTCTTGATTCCAAGCAGTTCATTGCTGTGCAACATCCCTATGTTATTAGCAGTGCCTTTCCTTCCTTGGGGTAAGAAGGGCTAGGCATCTTAACTCGTTTGCAGAGAATAACTTTGATTTACTGAGTATCCAAGGTGGGGATTAATGAAGCACTTTGAGGACAACATGTGTGCATTTTTGGAGTGTGGGCACCAGTGTTGGGGGTCAGGGAGCACCTCATGAACTCCTTCTGACCCTCAGCTCTCCTCTCCCAGTTTGCACTGGGGTTTAAGGCAGCACACCTGGAGGGCGTCGAGCTGAAGCATATGGGGCAGCAGCTGTTGGGTCAGTACCCAATTCACTTCCACCTGGTTGGTGATGTGGATGAAAAGGGAGGCTACGACCCACCCACGTACGTCAGGGACCTCTCCATCCACCACACATTCTCTCGCTGCGTCACCGTCCACGGCTCCAATGGCTTGTTGGTAAGCGCCTGGTTCCTGGGGAAGCAAAGGATCTAGAGCTCCCTCATCCCTTCCTCTCCTCCCCCATCCCCGTCAACTCACTGCTGGGCCCAGGGACCATGAGCACTGGAAGGATGTTTGGATCTGGTCACTTAGTCCGGGGCCATTGGGGGTTGAACCACCCTTAGCTCAGATTTTAGAACGATATCAATTGAGAGCAGGTTACCAACAAAAGAAGAAGGAGAAAATAAGGCTGTATCCTTGCCAAAGGGCACCAAGCTACAGAGATGGGTGAGTAATTAGTTTGCAGTGGTCACTGGAGTCTGGTCCCTGCTGCGCCTCACCAGAATGATGGGAAATCTGAGGAGCATTCTGTGACTGCGTGGCATGACAGATCTGCTAACTGCAGACAAGGGGGATTGTGCCAAGACTCTGTGCTGTGGCCTTTTCCCAACAGACTTGAGGCAGTGTTAGCAAGCAGTGGGCTCTTTTCTTCTGTTGAACCAAGTGTCCTTCAGAGCAAGTGCTGCTGGGAGAAAAGCCTTCATTAGCAAATCAGTGTATGTGTCAGAGGCTTGTCTTGATTTGAACAGATAATTTTTACACTAAATTGATCCTTTTTTAAATGAACTAAACTTGTATCCTCTATAAACTTTTAAAACTGGACAGTACAAAATGGCAGTCTGCCAGCTGAATCCAGCTTGTGTTTTGTTTGGCTAATGCAGTGTTTGGAGAAACATTTGATAATTTTTTACACTAGACTGATAATTTTACACTAAACTGAACTTTCTTTAAATGGACTAAACTTATATCCTCTATGAACTTTAAAACCAGATCTCACGAAGCAATACCCTGTGAGCTGAACCCTGTGAACAGATGTGTTTTGTTTGGCTTAAACAGCGTTTAAAGAAACATTTGAATGAGTTTCCATAATTTAAAAATTGAGATTTCGCATAAAAATTTGGATTCCTGGCTTCTCTTGAGTTGGTGGCACTAGACCCACATTCCTGCAAGGCAGCAGTGGACTGGGGCGGAGTTGCGGCCGCCCTGCAAAGCCAGGCCGGGGCCACCCATCTCATTGCCTGTTGGCCCCCATGGGTGTTTAGTTTGTGACCCCTGCTTTAAACACACACAGTGAACCTCCCCACCAGGCGTGTGGTAGTGGGAAGACGAGGGGGCCTTGTCAGCATGTTGTTGGTGAAGCCACTTTCCGTTCTGTTCAGTGTACTCTCATATTATGAAAGACTGCCTGCTGTCTCTGTGTTTTAAATGCTCGATTTAAAATCCCACTGAGAATAGGAGAGAGAGCATGGGCTTCGAGGCCCCGTCTAGAAGGGCCTGGTTCAAGGGCTTGGTCCACAGGTTATGAGCTGTGGGACCTCGGGCAAGTTGCTTAACCTTCTAAACCTCGGTTCCCTCCTCAGTCAAGTGGGGAAATCACAGCAAACACACAGGGCCATGAGGTGACTAGACAGTGCCACTGGGGAGACTAGACAGTGCCCTGCCCGCAGCTCGCAGGGAGGTCTTGCCCAGGAACCGGGGCGAGTCTCCCCAGCAAGTGGTCCGAGGGCTGAGGCTAGAGCAGTTGCTGGAAGACATGGGATGTTTTTACAGTTCAAGGAAGAAGCAAAGGAGAATGTTTTCTGTCTGAAGCAGAAAGACAGCAGGATATACAATCAATTCAGAATTTCAGGGATGCAGAGGAGGACGAGGACGAGCTTGGGCTCTGGCCCATCCGGCTTCTGCCACTTAGCAGCTGTGGGACCTGGGGCCGGACGTTTTCCCTCTGCATGCCTCTGTTTCCTCCTCTGTGAAATGGGGAGGACAGTGCTGCCTATCCTATGTGGTTGATGCAAGGAGTGAGTGAAGGACGTGGGGACTGCTAAGCTCAGGCCAGTACGCTTGGCCCTGGGCAGGCTTCTGGTCTGTCCCGTTCGTGCAGTTTGCTGAGTGAATGCATGAAGGGAATCGTAGACGTTCTCCCTCAGGTTGGTGATTAAGCCCAGAATACGTGGTGAAAGGAACAAGAATTGGTGAAGAACGATAACAGGCCTGAGTCTGAGGAGCTTTACTTGCCTTAAGCGTTTGTTCTAAAGTTGTGTCCTTAAATTTAGCTTAAATTCACCTACGTTTAACATTAGTCAAGAGAAAGAGATTAAGATTACTAGAAGCCTGTAATTACAGACCGTTTTGAGTGGAATCTGTTCTAAATCTCAAGGCAATCACACACACACACACACACACACACACACACACACACACACAGTGTGGCTGTGCTTGCCCACCCACTTGCCGTGTGACCTTGGGGCAGCTACTTAATCACCTGGCTCTTCAGTTTCCTCGTGTGTGCTGTGGAGAGCGTGGTGATTACCTCTCTGGGTTGTTCGGTTAGAAAACACGTTTGAAATGCTTTTGGCCAACTTCATAATCACAGAGCTGCCTCAGAGCCACGAGCCCAGGTCTCAGCCGCAGGAACGGGCGCGTATGGGGGAAGCAGGGCAGGAGCACCGAGGGTGGGCCAGGGTCATCCAGTCTCGGGGCACTCATCGGGGCATCTCAGTGGGGATGCAGGCTGGGGAGAGGCTGGGAGAATTAGCACGAGGCCGGAGTCCCAGTTAACGCAGATGGGCAGAGCAGGGAGAGATGTGTGGAGCAGGAGGGAAGGCAGCAGGTGAGGAACGGTGCACGGAACTGGCTCATCTGGAGCAGCCGGATGGTCAGCTGCACCCACGGTAGAGTCAGATTTTTAGAGCTACAGCCTTGGACAACTTCTTGGAACCCGAAGACCCTTGCTGTCCTGCAGACCAAAGTCTTCCTCCTTTCTGGACCCAAGGATGCCAACCACCAGACTGGGAGGGAACATCGTCAGCTCCCTGGGTGTCTTCTAGACACCAGGCCGCCCAGGTGCCCTGCACAGGCCTGGTCGGGGAGCCAGCTGCAGCCTTCTCCTGCTGGCCACATGGGGCTCCAACCACGCTCAGCTCAGGGCCGTGCTTGATGGCCAAGCTGGTGGGTTAGGTTTGGAGCCTGCCGGCCCGTGTAGCCTTCCCAAGGTGAAACAAAATTGCTGTGGCTTAGAATCTAGATGAAGTGCAGGCCTCTAACTCTCTGAGCCAAAGAGGCAGCGCCACAAAGGAGTGCATTCCTTACACTTCCCTAAGAGCTACATCTCTGGACAGGAGCTGGGGTTTATGGATTGGCACCTTACCCTATAAATGCCCCACCACTGGGGCAGAGAGGGCCACATTCAGAAATGCTGCCTCGGGAGCTGGACTCGCTCCATCAGTATTTTACGTTAGCTCCCTTCATTTTGGCTTGAAGGATTTACCAATGGCTGACTATGTTTAGAAATATGTTTTTAGCTGAGGGGATGAAAGGAGGCCAAATACAAAGACTTGATTCTAATTTAGAATGTAGAGGCCACTCAGTAGCATCGTGGGTACCTTTTCCCTAATGCCATCTCCCATCTGGAGATGCCTTAAACTCCAGACGGGCAGTCACTGGTTCATTGGAAAGAGAGGTTCCTAGTTGTGCAGACCTGAGAGGTGCCTTAAAGCTGATCCCAGTGTCCTGGGCAGCCCCTCCCCATGGGCTCCTCCCTGCCTGCCACCTGTAGACACATTCTGGTACCCTCCATCCTCAGCGAACATCTGCACCGCCCCCCGCCAACCCGGGGCAGCTGCCTTTGCTTCTTCTCTTTCTTCAACACCAACTTTTGGAATGAGTGGTCTCAACTTGACATTTCCACCAACACCCACTTCTCACTCCTCTCATAACTCACAAAAATGTGGGCTTCTCAGCTTTTGCCCCCCTGGGCCTTCGTGATGGCTCTCAGTGATGTCATTCCACACGTCACCACCAAGCTCCTCCTCAGCAAACCCACCTCCCCCTTCTCCCTCCTCATCCGACTCCTTACTCTCTCTCATCGAGGCTGTTATTGCAGGCTCAGTAGAACAGTGAGGTTAAAGAGGATAGAGTCACAGTGACCTGCATTCTCATCCTGCCGGTGTGAACTTGGGGGGCTGATTGACACTTCCTGAGCCTCAGTTTCCTCCTGTGTAAAGTGAGGATGATGATAGAACCCATCTCAAAGGCTTTTTGGGAAGATTAAGCCAGAAAATGTATGTGATATCTTAGCAATGATATTAAGTAGTCTTATCACTATGCCTCTCTGATTGTGATCTGTGTAAACCTCACTGGTCCCATGAGACCTAGTAGGTCTCCCCTTGCTAGCACAGTCAAGGCTTGCAGTGAAAACACATTTAATGTTGATTATCCTAGTGATGCCAAAACTCATTTAAACACAAAGCCCTTTTTTTCAGACAACTTTTGCATCTTACGGAGTTAGTGTTCTACGGAAAAGAGTTTGGGAAATGCCTCTCATAATATTGACACCATCCATGGTGTTCTACCTGAAACTGGGTGGTTCACACCAAAGCTCCAGGATGCTGGCCGATGTAGGGTGAAGCCTGCCTTCAGAGGAAGGCTTCACCGCACATTCTCTGCAGGCTAGAGACCTGGGCGTGTAAGATGGGCTCACACTTAGTGTGTGTTTCTGAGCTCTAAGGCAGGACACAGGCGGCATCACCTTCCTGTTCCCTCCTGGAACACAATGAATCCATTCTAGTACTTTTGAGGAAGGTAGAAAAGACTCCAATATGGATTCTCCAATTTTGTTGTCTCCTCCTTTCCTTTTTTTGGGCAGAGTGTGGGTGGGAGAAGAAAATGTGTCCTTTCCTTCATTCCCACCTCTTGCACTGCTCAAAATGTGTTATCTTTGATATAAATGCCTCCAAGAGCAACCAAATGCTTGAAACCAGGATGTCCCCAACAGGCTGCCACATGTGGCTATGCAGGTTTGCCCTGCGCACCTCCAGGGAGCACCATGTGTGGACTGCATTAAGTCTCCAAGCCCTCAGCCCTAGGGAGACAGCCTTCCTGTGACATTCTACTACAGATGGCTGGAGCCCCATACATAGATGGGTAGATGGCAGGAAACCCACTGCCCTCTCTCCCAGCCTCGAAGCTCTGGGAAACGTGGGAAAGGCTTCTGTTTTTCCCTTTTTCCACTTTCTTGAATTCGCAGTCTCACCCACTTCTTGATCCATGTAGCTTCTCTCATCTCTCCTTCCCACATGAGCCCAAGTGAGGAACCCAGACTCTTGTCCTTGATTTCCCCAAAAGTGTCACTGGCTAGTGCCTCTACTGGCAGACTAGGGTAAGAGATGGGGACGGGGCAAGAGTCCATTACAGATCAGCACAGAAATCAATGGCAAATGGGTAACAGGTCCCTCTTTTCTTACTGGTCCCTCAGCCCTCCCCTCCCTCAACCTGGTGGTGGAATTCTCACCTCCTTCTCTCGCTGCCTCTCTGCCTCTTCCAGGGCTGCCTTAGAAACTTATTCTTTTCCTTATTAGGCAGAGTGATTTGGTTCTGTTTCCTTTCCCCAGCTTCTATTTGCATATTCAAATACTCCTTAACACACTCTGCAAAACAAATTACCTCCTACTCCAAGGCTCTTTTCTTTAGCAGCTCAAAAAAATAAAAAATAAATGGCGGAAGCTTGGAAATTACAGTCTTCCTTTTAATATGATCGTATTTGTTGATAAGTCTCTCGCTAATATGAATTATATCGCACCCACCCGAGAAGGCAGAAACAGGTATAGTTCATTTCTGTTTGTATTTGTTTGTTTTAAACAGCAATTTCTTTTTCTTGCCGTGTACAGGTTGATGGTGGACATCATTACCATTGGGGTGACTTTGTATCCCCATTTGCACAGGACAGTTCCATTTTATACCTGTTGTCCCAGCTTAATCACTAATAGCACCCCTTTCACTCCCAAAAATGTCTTGATTCTGATGATGAACTAAATGGTCACCTTCACGGAAGCAGTCCCTGAGGGCTGAGAACTTTTCTCCTCCACAGTCTCATGTGTAGACACCACCTAACAACAGTTGAAGACTTAAAACAGCTCTCAGGAGTCAATTTCATGACTGTCAACCATCAACAGGGAAGAAGATGTCCAGAAGAGGAAAGGGAAAAATACAATTTGTGTAAGAGAAAGGCAGGGAGCTTACACGTTACTTTTGGTTAGCATCCATAGGTACATGGTGGCCACCTATAAATCTGTATGTATGTGTCTGTTTATCTGGCTACAACCTACCAATCTATCTAGCTATCTATCTATCTCAAGCGATGTCACAGTTTAGATATCTAATTCTGGGAAGTGTTCTAAGGAAGAACAATTGTAAAATAGAGCTGAAAAGGACTTTAGAAGTCACCCTGTCACACAGGGACACTCAGGCAAGTCACACAGCAAGTTTGTGGCTGAGCCAAGACTTGAACTTGTGTCTTCTACTCCCAACCCAGGGCTTTCTTCTCTCTTATTTATCATGCTTCTCTCTTGACTCTATATGCCATCCTCACCCCACTCCTAATGAGAAGAATGAACCACAGCCCAAGATGAGAGGGTTTTGTTTCTTTCTGTTGCTTTTGAGAATCGATGAGGACACAAGTTATGGAATCAGACGGACAGAGAATCAAGTCTCAATTCTGTCCTTGCAAGGGAAGTGACTTTGGGCAACAGTGTCATCTGTAGAAAGGTAATAGTAGTTGTGATGAGGATTAAATGAGATAATGTGTGTAAAACATTTGACACCCAGTAAACAGTCTTATTTTTCTTCCTTTTCTCTCCACAGTACACTTTAAGAGTCTGGAGGGAATTTCTTCCTCAGGCATTTGTTAGAATAAAAGTGTACCTAATTCATTACTCACTCGCATTCAGGGAAGGGCTACCCAAAGTGTGATCCAGACAGTGGGCAAGTGGGTGCGTAGGATTTTAAAGGAGCCACAAGGAGGAGGCAGGAGGCCTGGGTCTGAACATGGCTCCACCATGAAGTTGATGGGCATTCCTTCTCTGAGCGTCTGTGTCCTCCTCGGTAAAGTGAAGGCCTTGAACTTGCTCTCAGATGTCCCTGCCAGCTTGGGCCTTGTCCTCCCATGCTCGTCTTTCTAGGCTACTTATAACAGACTATCATGGGAGAAAAGGGAGCAGGCCCATTGGATGGCCATGGTATTGACTGAAATGCTGACTGAGGGACTGAACAGGATTAAGATCACGCCCTTGCCTCTCACCAAAGGTTCAGGGAGAGCTGCTTGTCTGAGAGAATAGAGAGCCTGTCTGGAGCAGGGAAGCTTGTATGTTTGGATCCTCCCTTACGAGGTGAATGGACCCAACTAGAAAACTGAGGTTCTGGCCCTGGCTTTGCACACATGGGTCGTGTGACCTTGGGCAAATCACTTAACTTATCTGAGTCTCATTTTCCTCATCTCTAAAAAAAATTTACTATAGGTTTGTGTAAGACTTAAGCAAGATTAAAAGGTGTAAGAGCCCAGCCCGAGGCTGGGACATGAAGGGTCCAGATTCTGGATGCTTCCAGAGCATGGCTGCCCAGGAGTTGGCGAGTAGGCAAACTTTGTCATATAAAGACTCTGGAGGGAACTGGTGTGTTTACCCTAGATTAGTGCTTCTCAGTCGGGGCTGTTTTGTCACTCACCTCCCCAGTGGAATATTTGGCAATGAATATCTGAAGACATTTTTGGTTGTCACAACTGAGGAGGGAGGCATCTGGTGGGTAGAGTCCAAGGATGCTACTCAACATCTCCCAGGGCCCAGGACAGCCCCTTGAAATGCTAACAGTGCTGAGGATGGCATTGTTTTTGGGTGGTATACAGACTTTCCAGGGTCTGGCACCATGGGAGGTACTTACTAGGTGTGGGTTGAATTGATGTCCTGGCAGCAGGAGCTTCCCTTGTTGGGTGACATCACTGGGCAGTCAGAACCCAGGCCTGAGGACGTGGATGGAAGATCTCAGTCAAGATAAATGAGGTGTTTCTGCCATCCTCAGTGTCCTGCTATGGACAGGCCACCTTGTGAGGTAGTGAGTGTCTTGTTTCTGGGGTGTTCAAGATGGAGCAGGATGCCCGTTTGTCAGGGATGCTTGCGAACCGAGTCTGGCGTTGGAGAAGAGGTAAGGCTCAGGCTAGAGGCCCTCTGAGGCCTTTTAGTTCTGAGATTGATGAGTTCATAGGATTCAGACCCAAAAGGGGCCTCAGAGATCATGGAGTTGGAGTCCTTCATTTGTGGCAGGGAAAGTGAGTTGAGATGTTGGGGGACTTGTCTAAGGTCCCCATGCTGGTTGCATGCATGGCTAAGACTGTACCCCAGGTCTCTCAATGTCTTTAATGGTCTTTCTGCTTCCCCCACTGACTCTGTGATTCCAAGAAGGATATTGAAGAGCTGGAGTTTACAACCTCTTCTGGTTCTCAGCCCAGGGGTCACAAATGTGGCTTGATGTGCATGATGGGCTACAAAGCTGGCTTGGATTCATAAGTGAGGGCACAGTGAGGAACATCAACACCAGTATTCTTAGAAAGCCCGCCTGGCCCAGCTCAGATGCTGCCTCCCAGGTGAAGCTCTCTCCATCACCTTCCTAGGGGAATCCCATCTGTGCCACTCCTTCACGTTAAGTCCTTGTCAGCTGTGTGCTTGCTGTGTCCTCACCAGAGTAGGCTCACATGAAGTAGTCTATGGTCTCCTCTGGGACCCATATCTAACATTTTGTCCCCTTTCTCACCCCACAGAGCCTCGGCCCCAACACCTCCAGCTGGAAGGGACTTTAAAGTCACTGCTCCATCCCTCTGCCCCACCCTCCCCAGGCCCAACACCTGTGTCAGGTCCAACTCCAACCCCCCAGTACTCCTCCTGGGTCTGGTGTACGGCTGATGCTGTTTAATGTTTGTCAAATGAATGAGCTTGTGAATAATTGGATGCTGGAATTGGAAATGTCCCCTGTCTTGACCCCTGCAGGTCAAGGACGTTGTGGGATATAACTCTTTGGGCCACTGCTTCTTCACGGAAGATGGGCCAGAGGAACGCAACACCTTTGACCACTGTCTTGGCCTCCTTGTCAAGTCTGGAACCCTCCTCCCCTCTGACCGTGACAGCAAGATGTGCAAGATGATCACAGAAGACTCCTATCCGGGGTACATCCCCAAGCCCAGGCAGGACTGCAAGTAAGCACCTCCCTCTCTGTGCCCACATGCCGCTGCAGGCCCATGCCCAGGGAGGTCTCTATGAGCACCTAGAGCATCTGACTGCTGCACTCCTGGGCTTCTGAGCAGCTCGGACCTCACAGCCTCAACCCGTACTGCTCTCAGCGTCTTGGAGAAAGGGCAAGAACATGTTCTCTATTTCTCCCTGCTCAGTGTGCCTCGTGTGCATGGTTCTTGTCCAAAGGAAAGCACTGTTCTCATCCTCGGGCTCTTCCTGAGGCCACACACGGTGCTCCTTCGAGGAGAGGGAGCGGCTGCCCCCTTGGCTCCTACAGTGTGTACATGTAGGCACCAGCCGCACTGATCCATTTCTAGACACGAGAGACAGAGACAGAGACAGAGACAGAGAGAGCTTCCTATGCGGTCACCCTTCTGAGTCCAGGGCCTCTCCCTTAGAAATGGCCACTTTCCTGGTGCTTCTGACTTACATTTATTTTAGAGCCAATCTTAGACTTTGCCCACAAACGCTTCTACCTTAAAGAGCCATGCCCTTTTCAAGTTCTGAAAATTTTAAGTGCTTAAGTGCACCACACTTTAACAAGAAAACTGGGTTCAGATCAACAAATCAAGGATTTCTCAAGTCACTGATAAGAGGCTCTTCAAACCGATATTAGCTTGCCTGACATGGGCCTGTCCATGCAGCAGAGTGGGAGCTGATAGACTTTTGTATGACACTATTCCATCTCTTCCCCTCCCCGCAGCGCTGTGTCCACCTTCTGGATAGCCAATCCCAACAACAACCTCATAAACTGCGCTGCTGCAGGATCCGAGGTGAGCAGAAACATCACTTCTTTGGCAGAAAGTAGGGGTGGGGGTTGGGAGAGAGGAGAGGGCCGGGGCTAGCCTGGAAATATGTGTGCCTGAGCCCCGAGTCTAGCTATCCATGCAGTCAGGCTGGGAGTGAAGAGGCAAAAAGCCAGACTGGGAGTCAGATGTATGGATTTTAAGTGATGGCTCTGTCACTTCATCACACTGGTGGTCATAGCTAATGAGTACTAAGCACTAAGTACTAAGTACGTGTAATAACTCATTATTAGATTGAAATTATTGTAGCCTAGAACAGTGCCTGGCACATCAGTGTTCTAAGCTAAAATAATTTAATTCCTATATCCACCCTATGAGGTGTAGGTATCATTACCTACCGCCTGATGAGTGAGGACGGGAAGGCAGGGAGAGCTAACGTGCCCTGGGGCATGCACGGGTTACAGACATGGCATTCTGTCTACACAGCCCTGCTCTTAGCCACCCCTTCCTGCTGCTTACCCCCATGGGACCCTAGCAAGTCAGGTGCTGTCTCAGGGCCTCAGCTCCCATATCTGTGGAATGAAAGGGAAAATCCTCCCCTTATGTCAGGAGGAGGTGGTGAACCCAGCAGCAACTCTGAAGCAGATAGAGGAGGACCCTATGAAGGGTTCTAACAGTCAGGGTGGACCCCACAAAATACATTTGCCTCAAACTTCTTGCTGTTTTCCTTCAAGAACTGGGCCACAGGGAGTTGTGTTTGTGGATGGGTGGTGATGGTACTAGACCCACCTCACCTAATCACCCCGACAAGGGGCTTGCTGGTGCTGATTCTGTGGCTTTCCCTTTGTGCCTTCCCCTAACAGGAAACTGGATTTTGGTTCATTTTTCACCACGTCCCAACGGGCCCCTCAGTGGGAATGTACTCCCCAGGTTACTCGGAGCACATCCCACTGGGAAAATTCCATAACAACCGGGCACATTCCAACTACCGGGTAAGTCTTTCCAGACTGCGCCTCCCCGGCCGGCCAATCAGTCCGCCTTCCCAGGCCTGCAAATGATTAGAGCCAGGATGGCCACTTGGCTACGACGGGGACAACTGCGTTCCCAGCGCTGGTCTTGAAGAAAAGGAAGCGGCCTTCCAAGGCCTCCCAGGCCACTGGCCACTCTTAGCAAGAATCTCCTGTGGCTCCTCCTGCCTTGGCCTTGACTTAGCATCCGGCTAGAACCAAAAGATGAGCAAGATGCCCCTTCACTCCAGCCGACGGGAGGAGGGCTTCTCCTTCTCCTCCTGAGCTGGATGCCTGAATTTGATTTTGTAGTTCACTCGGTGGGATGGTGCAGTGTGGACTGTGAAAAGTGAGGCCTGACCCATAAGCTAGAGAGAATCAGGACATGGTTCTGAAGGAGGGTGGAGGCAGCCTTAGCATCTTCTCCTCTGTTCCCTTGTGTTTTGTTCCTGGGAAATGGGTTGCTCCGTCCGTGCAGAGTTGAGGAGGCAGGTGGAAAACAGAAATCCCTCAGTCACTTATCAATAGTTCTGTGGTCCAGAACCAAGCTAGGTGCTAGGGGAAGAGACTGAGATCTCGAGTGTGTCAAGGACCCCCAGTTGGGACAGCATCAAGACCACGGGACGCGGGAATGGAGCTTGGGAGCGAGGCTGAGACCAGAGATGCTGCTCTTGGGGACCCTAGGGCACTGCATAGATGGACGCCCGAATGTCAAGGCTGGTCTTCTGGTCCAATCCCTAAGGATACGGATGAAGAAACTGAGGCCCACTAGAGGGCAACAGACACATTCAGGGTCAAAAAAAAAAAAAAGGCTTAACCAGGGAGAAGACGGTTAAGAAGAGAAATCATCTCAGGATAGACCTGCACTTGCACCTAGGAGGGGGAGGGAAAGGGCCTGTGGGAGTACTGGGCAGCCTGGGCAGAGGGGGAGACCCCGTCTCCCAGAAGCTAAGACAGGATAGTGTCACAGAGAGAGGACAGAGGCGAGGAGGGCAACAGCCTCACCCTGACAGAGGAGGGAGTTAGTGCAGGCCTCAGAATGGGCATTTCCGAGGGCCATGGCCTGGGAGAGCCGTCGCCATGTGGAACAGGCACAGGGGCCATCCGCTGTGGGGGCAGCGAGAGCCGTGGAGAGAATGTTGGCTGCTTGTTGAGACCTCGTCCTTGAGAAGCCTTCCCCTGAGCAGGGGTGGCCACGTAGTACATGGCTGTTTGGAGAGGTTGGAAGGGGAGGAATATGTGAGGGAGGATAGTTTCCAACAAAGAAGTAGGCAAGGACTCATGGGCACAGGGGGACGGGCAGCCTGGAGGAAGGTGGCAGGGCGGGAAAGGAGCAAGAGGAAGCCCCAGCTGATTGATTCATTGTCTGAGTGGAGGAGGAAGCCCCCGCTGATGTCCACGCCCAGTGAGCCTGAGTCCACATCCACTGTGTGAGCGTCCTGTCCCGGGACTCTGCCCCTGGGCTAGCTTACGTAGTCCTCCCAGCCCTCCTGGGAAATCAGTGTTATCAGCCCATCTTACAGAGGCTGTGACTGAGGCTCCAGAGCTATGACTTACCCAAAGTCATAGCTCATCAGAGAAGAGCTGGGAGTCTAGCTCCGCATCTCCTGACTCGCATCACTATTGCTTAACTCTAAGTCAGCTGAAGAATACAACAGTCAGAGTGTCCTCGGACTGTCTAAAGAAGCGAAACCCGAGTTGGAGCCTTCCTAAGAGGCCACGGGAGTCCAGGAATGAAGGAAGGCTGAACGTGCCCCCTGGGCAGCATCCTCCAGCTGCCTCAATGCCCACTTACCCTTGGCTGACAAAGTGCCACCTTTGGAGCCAAATAAGAAAGTGAGGTTCTGTCCTCGAGTCAGGCAGGAACCAAGACAAGACCGTGGGAGGATCACAGACCCCTGGCCCAAGGCCAAGACAAGACTTAAGTTTAGCATTTTATTAAATCTCTGCAGACACGTTTCCCAAGAATGCATACCTGTCATCCTTGATTTGGGGCCTGGGCACATAACTGCCCAAAGCAGTGTGAGTTCTGGGCATGGACTTAGCTGTGTGGCCTTAGACAAGATCCTTAACCCCTCTAGACCTCAGTTTCCTCATCTGCACCTCAAAGAGGACACATTCCAGATTTGAGCTGAGCAATGCATAACAATGCAGGCTCTTCACCTCCCTCGCTGCAGACCCCCTGCTTCCATTAATGCATCCTGAGAGCAAAGCTGGTTTAACGGAACACTCAAGAATGTGCAGTGAGGCTGGGTGAGAAGATGCCTGGGTCTGCAGTAGAAGCTAATGTGTCCCTGAATGTCTCCTCTCCCCAGGCTGGCATGATCATAGACAATGGAGTCAAAACTACAGAGGCCTCTGCCAAGGACAAACGGCCCTTCCTCTCCATCATCTCTGCCAGGTAATCAACCCTCAGGAACACATACACTCCATGTGACCACTCAACTCAGCCCCATTCCCTTTGTTCATTCATTCATTCATTCATTCATTAGGTATCTGTTGAGCCCTTTCTATGTCCTGCACATTGAACTAATTGCTGGGGATAATGAGAGGGGTAAAATCAGAATTAGAGTTTAGGCTCCAGCACCCGAAGGGAAGTAGAAATTCCTAGAGGTTTCTGGATCCCTCAGCAAAAGCCAATACCTGGTTAGTCAACAGGCGTGGCTGGGGCCACCGTGGGTTGGGCTGGGAGCAAAAGGTGAAGAGAAAAGAAGGGAAGAATTTCACCATCAATTTAACGGAAAAGAACACGCAGGTGGTACCTACAAATAAATCTGGAGCTCAGCTGAAGGCCAGGGGCCACTTTTTAAAAGGTGCTGTCAAAACCTCAAGGCAATTAGGAAAACCAGTACCCTTTAAAGAGACCAAGTTGCTTGGTCTCCGTCACAAGTGGGTGACACTAGTGACATGATAATGTCCCCGGAAAATTTTTGCTGGACTGGACATCAGTGAGCATCCACGCTCAGCACTCCATTTTTCAGCTGAGAGACAGAAGCCCAGAAAAGGCCCTCGGTCAAGGGTCCCCCGGTTAGTGGGGCAGTATCGCAGGCTGGGTTTGGGATTGGCTGTCTGAACTTTCCTCTGGGCTCTGCTGCTGCCTGGGGGCGCTCCTCAGTGGTGCGGATGAACAAGAGAAGTGAAGTGTCTGTAGCCTGCATGAGGCTGGACCTTAGAGAAAAGATCTTTTGCTTCTGGGCTGAGCTGAGAAAGCTCATTCCAGAGCCCAGGGGATGTGAGTCGGCTGCTGTTTAGTCAGTGTCTTCCAGGGCACTGTGAGCAGAGAGAAGCTCACAGCCCAGCAGGGAGTCTGTTCAGGAGCCCCCCCAACACCCCACCTGTGTGTGTTCTAGATACAGCCCTCACCAGGATGCTGACCCACTGAAGCCTCGGGAGCCGGCCATCATCAAGCATTTCACCGCCTACAAGAACCAGGACCACGGGGCCTGGCTGCGCGGTGGGGATGTGTGGCTGGACAGCTGCCGGTGAGTCCTCCGGGCAGGGGAGAGAGGAGAGCAAGGCAGAGAGAGGAAACAAGACACACCAACCTTTGGTTTCTGGTCCCCCAACCAGGCAGGGGCATAGAATGGCAGCAGGCAGGAACCCCCCAAAAAACCCTAACAACAGCATATGGCTTCAGCCCACAAGGCCAGGTGCTATGGGTCATGATTTGCCCCCAAATAGTCACTGAGCTTGGCTCTCTCAGGCCACACAGCCAGTCAGTGACAGGAAGGAAGAAGAAGAAAAACTAGCCTGTTCTAGGCACCTACTATGTGCTGAATCCCTGGTTGCGTTTCTTACCATGTTTCTCAAAGATATAAATTATCATCTCCGTTTTAGAGATGACAAACTGAGGCTCAGTTCAGTGAATTTCCAAAAGGTAAGTGGTTGAGCTGAGACTTGAAATTTTAGCTCATTGGACTCCGAGGCCCAAACACAGAAGACAAGGAACCCTGAGTTCTGATATAAGGCCCCCTGGGGAGCCACTAGCCCATGCTGGACAAGGGTCGGAAGGGACAGGCAGCTGAGTTGGGATTTGTTTTAAAGGAGTATCATGAAATGTTCTCCTTGTCTGCCTTTTGTGTTAAAAGTCGGAGATCAGAAACTCTACATAGGAAGTAAATGTATTTCTCCATTTTATTGTGACCAATTAAAGGAGCAATAAAGGTGAAAGGGAGGAAGAGGAAGTGAAAGAGTGTGAGGAGGGACATGGAGACACAGAGTTCACATACATACACGGAGAGAGAAAGACAGGGAGAGAGAGAGAGAAAGCCTGCTCAGAAAAGCAGAGGCCAGGGAGAGACAGACACTGATGGAGCCCCAGGCAGCCCCAGAGAGAGCCGAACGTGGCTGGGAGAGGCAAAGGAAATGTCACTGGCAGAGAAACGGGTGGGCATTCTTCTTTCATGGGGTCAGAGAGGTCATGGGTTTTGAGAAGAGGGGAAAGGGAAGAAGAGAGCCACTTCGGGGTTTCTGAAGGCATTTAGGGGATGAGGAGGCAGGCTTGTTCTGATTGGCTCTGGAGGGCAGAAGTTATAGGCACAGGGCAAATTCCAGCTCAACCGAAGGAGGAGCTTTCCCACAAGACAAGGTGTTAGTCAATGAGGTGAGCTGTTCATCCCCAGAGCAGAGGCCCGATGGCGCCAGGAGAGAGGTTTTGCAGGAGGTGAGGAGGGGAGAAGACAGACGGCACCTGCGCCAAGCCTCTGCGGCGCTCCAAGGCCAGGGAACATCTTGGTTCCCAAGAGGTCAAGTACCCACAGAGACAGTGGATGCCAGACTTGGGGCAGCAAGACAAGCTGTGAAGCCCTTGCCAATGGGGTTGGATCTTCCAGCCCTCTGCCAGACTCCCTTCGAGATAGCCCAGAATCTGGCTGGCGCCGAGGGGGCAGGCCCCCAAGGGGTAGGGTTGGCACAGTCAGGGGCTGACAGAAGATGGGGATCCCTTCAAGGACTTTGAACATTTGGCCATTGTGTCCATTCCAGAAAGATCACTCTAGCAACCATGAGATGCAGGCGGGGGTGGGAGGGGGCTCTCCTGGAGGTGGGAAAGACAACTAAGATACTACTGCCACAGTCTGGCGAGAGCTTAGCTGAAACCGAGCTTTCGGGACCCTGAACAGGCTTAGAAGGAAGATAATTGTATTATTTTAGACATGCTGACCTTGAGATGCTTTTGAGATATTCAGTGGAAATACCCCAAACTTTGGAAGAGCAGACGAGAAGGGCAGGTGATTTGAGAGTGAGCAGCAGACCAGCAGGGATGGAAGCTGTGAGTCTCTGTGAGGTCCCCAGGGACATGGTGGAGCATGAGAGGACCTTGGGCAGAGCACTGGGGGACAGCAACGGTGAGGAGGAGCCATGAAGGGACTGGGAGACAAGACCCAGGAAGTTTGGGGAAAGAACTGGAGAGCACAAGGCCCTGGAAGATGGCCATGAATGATTGATCTGAACTGGATGGGCTTCAGAGAGAGAGAGAAGTGCAAGTGTCCCAGAGGAGAGGGAGCAGGGCAAGCAGGAGCAAACCAGGAACCAGAGACCACTGGGGCAACCGGGACCAGCCTGGCGTGGCTGAAGCAGTGGGAAAGTGGACTCCCCATGGCCTTGAGCACAAGCGCAAGGATTTGGGCTTAGGTTTATGGACGATTTGAAGCCACTGGAGTTTAGGAAGCAGAGAGTGTCGGGGAGAATGGCACTTCGAGGAGAGGAGCCTGGCGGGCGTACAGAACAGGCGGAAGGAGACCAGGTACATCTGCCCCAGGGACAAGGGAACGAAGGCAGCTACGTCTTTGGCCCTAGGGTCTGGGGCAGGGCAGCCCCAAGGCTCAGCTCAGATTCTGTGCCATTCCTTGTCACTCACAACCAGACTCCTTCCAGAAGTGTGCTCCTCCTGACCCTCAAAGGAGACAGAGGCAAAAGGGAGCTGATGAGATGGCCACAGTGTAATTGTCCTTCTCAGGGCCAGCGTCTGCTTGACTTCTGGGAAACTTGGACCTCAGTGCTATTTGTCCTGCTTGCTACAGCTGACATAGCAGGGAGGATGGCTAAGGGGAAATGGAACTGCACCCACATAGCCCGCCTTTACCCAGTGCTGGCCCTGGGAGTGGCAAGGCCCTCCACGTGCCCCTGGCCCCACCTCCCAGAAGCCCTGGAATCACAGATGAGCATGGACTGGAGAGGGAAGCTCATGGAGCCCAGGCTGCATGCTGCAAATGCAAGGTGGCATCAGACGCTGAGTGGGAGGGGGCCTAGAATGTCCCCTTATTATACAGAATGGGAGAGGCCACAGCTCCCTCAGGAAACCCTCTACACTCATGGAAAGACTCCTTCCCCACACAGTACCCACAGTATGACTCCAGGCAGGGAAGGGTCCTTCCTGCCATGACTTCGCTGAATGTGGAGCGAGAGCATGCTCTGACTGTCTGCTCTTGTCCCAGGTTTGCTGACAATGGCATCGGCCTGACCCTGGCCAGGTAAGAGCAGCTGTTCTTGTGCTTAGCCCTCTGTGGGAGGCTGTCTCTGGACATCTCTTCTCAGAGATCTTCTCTCTACAGTGGTGGAACCTTCCCGTATGATGATGGCTCCAAGCAGGAGATAAAGAACAGCCTGTTTGTTGGTGAGAGTGGCAACGTGGGGACAGAGATGATGGACAACAGGATCTGGGGCCCAGGCGGCTTGGACCACAGTGGAAGGACCCTTCCTATAGGCCAGTAGGTTTGCAACCATGGCAGCTTCCTTGTTCTGCATGGCTTAGCCTAAGTGGCAGCAATGGAAGGAAAGATGCTAGGATGTGATTTCTACCCATTGACTATGAATTCCTCTGTCCTCTACTAGTCAGAGCAATCACTGAAACAACGGAGATTAACCAGCAGTGGGGTGAAATCGAGCAGGAGAAGTCAAAATACTGTGTTAAATATAACTCAGGGGACATAGCTACCAAAATGCACAGTGTGGTTCTGGGCCACGTTGGTGGGAATTCGGTGTCCAGGATCAGTGACCACGGGTTCCTTTCTCCTCTGACGACACACCCACTTGGAGCATTTTATCCACTTCTGAGGACGGTTGAGTGACAGACTCAGGCCAAAGCACACTCACAGGAGAATAACCAGGAGGGGGACAAAACCCAAAGCCATGCTACATGCAGGTTGGGATCTTCAACCAGAAGATGGGATCGTCCTTGGGGGACAGCATGAGAGATGTCGTCATACATTCTCGGGGCTGCCTCGTGCATATAAGATGAAACTCATTCTACATGGACCCTGAGGGTTAAAATTGGTTTGGTGCAGGGAAGAATTTTCTAGCCATCAGATTTGTTCAACAACAGAAGAGTGGAGCTGTCCTGAGGAGTTGGGGGCTTGCTCTGACGACTGGGTGATTGGAGAGGGAGGGGTGACTTGGAGAATTAACAGAGCAAATGGACTTGGTCCATTCCTCAGCCACAGCCTGGGTCAGTCTCTCCTCCTTCTGATGGTGTTTCTGTTCAGATATGAATTCAAGCTGGAGAGCAAGGCTCTGAGCAGCATGGGGGTCCCTGTTCTCCGAGTGCTGAGATCAGCCCTTCCTGCCCCCCTGAGCTTTCTTCTCTTTCTCTAGGAAAATATAATGCCTACCTTTATAGGCAAGACACAGCCTAAACTCCCAACCTGAGGGCATGTGTATCTTTGAAAAGGTTTTGCAGATGGAACCATGGCGTCCTTTGGCATACGCTGTAGAGAATCCCTTGTTTCTGTCTAACCTAAGTGATGTAGCGGTCCCTTCAGATCATTTTTATGAGCAACTCTGGGTCTGCACATTTGGGGTTGCTTTGCTGAAGGTTATCAGCCTCCCAGGGCCGGAGTGTTCTGATGACTTCCAGAGGTGACTTTGTTTATGGAGGCCTGACAGCTCTGTCAGACTCAGGCAGGTTCCTCAAACTACGTCTGTGAGCAGGAACCTGGGACCGTGCCGTCCTAATCGTGGGTAATTCATCCCGTATGGGCCTGGGTTGGAGTCTGAAGGAAAAGTAAGCCACAGTTTAAATATAGAGCTAGTAAGAACGGGCTGTCTCTGAAATACCTTAAATGGAAAAATGTACAGAGCTACCCCATGAGAATCAAGAAGGGATCAAGGTGAGGATGTTAACCAATTACAAATATGAAAATACAGAAATGCAAGAAGTCCTTGGTGTCCACTGAAGGCACATTGCCAAGACTGGTGTGAGTAGGGTCTTCCTCAGGGATCTGTATCTGAATGGAGGGGACCCCAGTGTTGAAGACGGGATGGCTAGAGTGTGGGCTCTCCCCATGGACAGATCCCTTTTCTGCTTTCTTTTCCCTCTTTCTACCCTTTCTTCTTTATGTTTGCTGTGGAAGGAGAGGGCCTTGGCTCAGAGGTAGAGATACTAGTAAAAGCATAAATATTGGGCTTGAAGAATGAGCAAGCTGAGATTCAGGGCCAGGCCCAAGAAGGTCCACCAGGAAACCCAGCCAGCCCCTCCAAGGCCCCTGCTTCCCACGCCCTGCTCAGGAGTCTGAGGCAGATGAGGGAGGCGTCTCCGAGCACCCAGCCCCTGCTGGGCCCAAGGAAGAGTTTCAAGTCACCCGTTAGCCTTAGTCCCTCCTACCTCCATCTCCATCTGCTGCCTCTTCCCGCATCCTGTCCCTGCCTCCTGGGTATCAGGGCCTTCTTGGGGGCCTGCCCTCTTTTCTAGGGATGCTTGACAAGTTACATCGAGGTTATTTTACCACATGGTTATCACCTTCCATTCTGTCTTTCCTCTGCCCTCTGTTTCCCAAACCCAGCATCCTCCCAATCGAAAGGCTTACTCACAGAGAGGAAACTCATCTGGGTCTTCATCTGATTAAACTGTTATAGCAACTAAGACTAGGCGATAATGACTAATGGCTCTACTCTCCCAAGGGACATAGCGTTGGCCCTCTCCAGCAGTATTGACGGTATTTACCCAGTGACTCTTCATAGGATGGAAAAATTGTGGAAAATGCTTGAATATCCTGTAAACCCCAAGCCAGCAACTAGACAGATACTCATTTATTCATCCATCTAGCCATCCAATAATTCATCCAGCAATCATTTATTGTCATCGACTGTGTCCATCAATGCTTTCTCAGTGAATTAATTAATGAATCAATAATGTTCTGCAGTGGGGGAGTTGTTTGGGGTGGGAATCAGCAATGGCTTAACCAGGAAGTCTCTGTCACCATCCACCTCAGAGGGTACAAACAACATGGTGGCACGACGTGGCGGTTGGCCTGACATCTGACTTCCTTAACTTCACAGGAATTTTCCAATCCGAGGAATTCAGTTCTACGATGGCCCCATCAACATCCAGAACTGCACTTTCCGCAAGTTTGCAGCCCTGGAGGGCCGGCACACCAGCGCCCTGGCCTTCCGCCTGAACAATGCCTGGCAGAGCTGCCCCCACAACAATGTGACCAGTGTCGCCTTTGAGGACGTCCCGGTGAGTGAGGCGGCGGGGCAGGCTCCTGGCAGACCAGACGTGGGGCAGCGACTCACAAGTCCCCGGGGCTGGAGTGTGAGCTGCTGCCTCCACCGCAGGGGTTGAACAGCCTCCTCCAAGCAGCTTGGCCCACATCCCAGTTCTGTCTGCATCCAAACTGGAAAAGTACAAGCCTAGGTTGCCCCACAGGTCAAGTCTGGGTAAATGCCCGCTTGCCCTCACCCTGCCCAAAACCCGCCCAAGCCTCAGCAGGAAACTTACGCTGGACTCAAGGTTCGAGGCTGTTCCTCCTAGGGTCTTGGTTTTGACCTGGTGAGTCCTGTGACCGGGCCACTTGAATTGGCACAATTAATCCAAAAAGCCAACAGTGTCCAAAGGAATCTTTGCTGAAGATGCTCTGTTTAATCTCCCCCTGCGCATGGGACATAATAAACAGGGGCCTCCTCCCCAAGACAGCTGACAGATCAAGATCTGGGAGTGAGGAGATCAGGACAGAGGGCGCCCTTGGAGACTGGGCTGCCCAGACCTCCTGGTGCGTTTTCTTCAGGTTACGCAGTTCCCAGACCTCTCCTCCTCCTCGTCCCTCTGCTCCTGCCCTTTGCCTGTCTGCCCAGTTACTGGCAGGCTGAGGGAAAAGATGTGAAACTTAAGTTACTTAATTTCTTTACTCAGGCCACTGAAGGCCTGAAAGTGGTCAGTCATGGAAATCTCCAAGGGCTCATGTTGAAAGACTGTCTTCCTGAAACACACCACACACTCACACACACGTTCTCTCTCACACACATGCCCCCCACATGTGTGTGTGTGTACTTTCTCATACAAACATTCCTCACCACCTCAGTCTCACTCTCCCTCCCTCTCTCTCACCCACACACACTCCCACGTCCCCCTCCCATCTCTGCAGTGTTCTGGCCGTGTGTCAGAGCACCCTCCAGGGTCACCACAGCAGCCAACCTTCCCGTGAGCAGACGTCTGAGTGAACGTTTGGCTGTTTTTCCAGCTCCATCTGTGACGTCAGCCATGCGTTTCCCAAGTGCCTGAGAGCATCTTTGGTTTGGCTGGTCTGTAATGGCAGCGGAAACCGGAAACTTCCCCTTGGCCTGATGACGGCTGCAGTTTCCCTGCACCTTCTGGCCCAGCCTAACTTTCCCGGGATCTGTTTAGATTACTTCCAGAGTGTTCTTCGGAGAGCCTGGGCCCTGGTTCAATCAGCTGGACATGGATGGGGATAAGACGTCGGTGTTCCACGACGTTGATGGCTCCGTGTCCGAGTACCCGGGGTCCTACCTCACCAAGGATGACAACTGGCTGGTCCGGCACCCAGACTGCATCAACGTCCCGGACTGGAGAGGGGCCATCTGCAGCGGGCGCTATGCACAGGTGCAGACGCAAGGGCGCACCTCCCTGGGTGTCACTGGTCACTCACTCCCGCGACAAGCCCATGCTTCTTTTTCCTTCTTTTTTTCCTTCTTTTTATTTTTCCTCCTCACCCAATAGAGTTTTCAAATAGTCAAAGTGAAAACACTTTGTAAGCATTCTGCTTACAAAAAGAGCACTCTGAAGTCAAGTGCCCGGATTCCAGTCAGGCTCCAGCACTTACTCACTATGTGACCCTGGACAAGTGAACCTCCTGGTGCCTCAGTGTCCTCATCTGTAAAATCGGAATTGGGGGTGGCTTCATATAGTGCGTGTAAAGTGCTTCACCAGCTGTGTCCTCCAGAAGTGTAATGCAAGCCACACGTGATCTTAAATTTTCTAGTACCCATGTTAAAAAGGAAAAAGAAACAGGTGAAATTAATTTTAACAATACATTTTATTTAACTCAGTAGACTCAAAATAGTCATCTCAACATGTAATCAATATAAAAGATCATTAATGAGACACTTTATATTTTTTCTTGTTCTAAGTCTTCAAAATCCACTGTATATTTTATACTTAGAGCTCCCTCAATTTGGATGCAACTTATCAACAAAGTGACAGCTAGTCCTACCAAAACAGATAAGTTGGGTTTAACGGAAAATATTTTGCACTGCTTTTTGGTTTGAAATTTAAATTAATTAGAATAAAATTTAAAATTTATGTCCTCAGCCACACTGGCCACGTTTCCAGTGGTCAGTGGCCACACGTGGCCGATGGCTATTGCTTGGAACAGCGCTGGCTTACAGTGCCTGCAATGTGGCAGAACTGAGAGTATTAGTTAGCTATTATTATGTTATGGTTATTGTTATTGTTATGAGTTGGACGAATGGCTGATGAATAAACGCGTAAGAGGAGAGAGGCCCAAGGGGTCAGGAAACGTGTGTGAGTGAAGAGGTTGTCCTCACAGCTATCCTACAAGGCAGATAACACACTGTTATCACCACTGTGGCTGTCCGTGGGTAGAAAAGAGCTAAAAAGTAGTTTGAGGTTTGGAGAGGGATGGGAGAGGAGCTAGTGTGAGGCTGAGGGAAAGGGCCAGTGGGCAAGGTGGGCGCGTGGGGGCAGGGGGCATGCTGGGGGCGCAGGCACAGCGGAGGTGGGAGGAGCCGGCGTTTAGCAGGAGGAAGGCCCAGAGGAAGACAGGGCAGGGGTCAGGGGCAGGAAGTCGAGGGCTTTTCTTTCTACAGTAGGAGGTGAGGTCATGCGCTGAGGAGGCAGAGAGTGGGCCTGAGGAGGTGGCCCGCAGACAGCCATGAGGTTCAGACGAGCTGCTGTAGAGTGGAAAATGCTGACAAGAGGCGTGGGGAGGAGCGCGGGCCATGGTGAAAACCAGTGCAGATGGAAGATGGTGCACTGGAAGGGGCACCTCACTCCCAGGCTTTGGGGTTTTCTCATCCCACTCGAGAGCCCTGGTGGAGGAGGTGGACCTGTGGAACGATCCAGGGCAACATTTCTGTGGCATCTGTAGACAAGGCAAGGGATTTGATGCTGTGGGAGCAAGCAGTTGACGTGATGGTCTAAGGAAGACAAGAAGGGAAGTTGAGTCAGAAGGGAGTCGATAATGGGAGCCATGCCCTGAATAATTGAGGGTGACCAAGCCCCCAAGCCTTGCATCCATACTTTGGGCATTACATGGCATCTCTGATTCAAAGACGAGATAGCCCATGTGGAACCTTGATCTCCATCTTCCCTCCCACCCTTTCTTCCTGATACATTGCTTGCCTTCTATTAGAACTTGCCAGGTTATCATAACTGGCTACTGGTTAATAATTATTAATAACCTCCTTCCTTCACTTTACAGCTTACAAAATGCTTTAATGTACCTTTAAATTTTTATACTTATGACTACTCCATATAATGGGCAGGGTTAAAGTTTCTTTTTCCATATTACATGCAATAGAACTGGAGGGGAAGATAACCCCTTCCTTCCAAAGGCACAGCGTTATTACACATTGATGTGATGATGGTCTCTCTTGGCCACAGCTACAGGGATGTCACCTTATGAATATGGGACATGTCATTAAACCGGACACAGTCTTTTATACTGAGGCTGGCCCAAAGCATTGGGCTCATTGGTCCCTGGGACTCAGGGGCTGACAGTCTTGCTTTCACTTTTTCCTCTGAGATGAGATGCCATTCATTCATCTGTCGTGTACTGACACCCACATAGACTGGCCACATGGGCCAGACACTGGGAATCAGAGGGAGAGGCAGGGCAGCACACCCAGGCTCTCTCTCAAATGCAGGCAGGACAACAGCCCATGAAGGGGGAGCTGCATTTGCAGCAGATTGCAAAAACTCTCTCTCCCTCTCTCTCCCTTCCTCCTTCTTGCAGATCCTCCACCTTTTCCCAGAATTTGCCATCTGACCATTAAGCAGACTCCTCCCAAGTTTCCACTGGTATCTCCTCAATAGAGCACTTTTTTGAAGATGCACAGAAAGCATTAGGTAGATTGCACAGTACAGGTTGGGCTGCCTCCACCAGCAGAAAGAGATGCCTCCTTATTTGGCCTTTCTTTCCTTCAAGCCTTCTAAAAAGGGCTCTGTTAAGAGAGAGTGCCTTTGAAAGTGCAGTCTGTAGTCAGATGTTAACCAGACGCTCTTGGAAGAATCCCTTGTAATTGCCTGGTTGTGTGTTTCCTTTTTGGGTTTTAAAAGATGTACATTCAGGCCTACAAGACCAGTAACCTGCGAATGAAGATCATCAAGAATGACTTCCCCAGCCACCCTCTCTACCTGGAGGGGGCTCTGACCAGGAGTACCCACTACCAGCAGTACCAGCCAGTCATCACTCTGCAGAAGGGCTATACCATCCACTGGGACCAGACGGCCCCCACTGAGCTCACCATCTGGCTCATCAACTTCAACAAGTGAGTGGATGCCCACCCAGGAGCAGTGTGACCCAGGGACAGCTGCTCTGATGGAGCTCAAGGCAGTGGGGGTAACAATGCCTCATTGCAAAGTCCCGGGCTTGCCGCACACAGACCCTCAGGCTAGCCCACGTCATCCCTGTAGAAGGATGTGTCTAGAAGGGTTGACTTCACCCAGAGGTTAAGAATCAGAAGACGTGAGTGGAGCCCCCATTCTGGGCAGGGGTGACCTCAGGGAGGGCATCTAACCCCTGGAGCCTCAGTCCCTCCACCTAGGAGATGGGGTGGTATCACCTTGCGGGAACACAACCGGGATTAGTGAGATAACGTACGACAGGCATTTCACCCAGGACCTGCTTGACCAAGTGTTCAATAGACGGCAAAAAACGCCTGGCAGCTCTGTGCCCACTTTACAGAGACAGAAACGAGGCTCTGTGAGGTAAAGAGACGGAGCTGAGGGCATCCCGATAAGGCTGCATATATTTATGGTCACGTATTTTCTGTCCACGTTATTTGCCCATCACAGCATTTCTGTGCAACAGACATTTATCAGATGTGGAAAATGAGACCCAGAGAGATGAAATGGGCCCCACGATCAGGCTGGACCAGCAGAGGCTGAACGCAGGTCCTATAGGTCCTGCAGGTCCCGGGCTCTTTCACCACTGCCCTGTGGAAAGGACGTCTTTCCCAACCAAAGTCCCATCTGGAGCACCCCGGTGTAGGCCCTGGGGATGCCCACCTGACCCGTTCCAATGATCCCCCTTGGTCACCGTCTCCCCCTCTCCTGGAACATTTTGTGGTTCAGTCATTACCAACAGCAAGTGTTCTTTCAGAATTCCCATGACAGAGTGGAGGTGCCATGTGGTGGAGACGTCTCTTGGTCTCTCTCTGAGGCACGCCCAGGAGGCTCTGTGGCCTGGCCTCCTTGCTTGTAAACTGACTCTGCTTCCCGTCCTAGGGGCGACTGGATCCGCGTGGGGCTCTGCTACCCGAGAGGCACCAGCTTTTCCATCCTCTCAGATGTTCACAATCGCCTGCTGAAGCAAACGTCGAAGACAGGCACGTTCGTGAGGACCTTACAAATGGACAAAGTGGAGCAGAGCCCTCCCGGCAGGAGCCACTACTATTGGGATGAGGACTCAGGGTGAGGAGTGCCCACGTGGCTGCAGGACAGCAGCTCAGCCTCTTGTGTCCCCCTGGCCCTTCCAGGAAGCCTAAGAACCACCAGCGCAGGGAGTGTGGGGAGAGCAGGGTACCCTACTAGGGGCTTCTGTTCTAAGGCTGACTGTACCGTCCACCAGTGACATTTTTAAAGCCGTTAAGCTTTGGGAGTAAAACAAACAAATAAACACGTGGATTGCAGGGAATATGCCTAATTCAGAGAAGTGAAATCAGTGAATCTCAGAATCAAGGAAACATGGTACATAACCTCAATCCTCAGGACAACCCAACTGGAGCTGATGAAACATCTCTGACTTAGAGATGGGTGAAGAAGGCACGGGGAAAACAGCAGTGACCTGCCCAGAGGCCACAGCACAGACTTCACACAGCTGGTTCTGAACCCTGAGTCTCTCTGGACCCAGAGCCCTCACCCTTTGCTAAACTGCACTGGGTTCCATTCAACAGAGATATAGTGGAGGTAGCACCTGTTTGTGGAGATAAGGGAGCTACTTGGTCCTCTCCCCCAAAAAGAGAGTTAGTCCAATCCCGTAAGAAGGCCAGCACATGTCCATAGCAATGAGGCTGTAGAAAGCAGCCCTCTGGGGAGTCAGGGTGAAGGATCACTTCACAGCCATTTTTCCATCCTTGTATTGACATCAAGGATAAGGAAATAGATAACAAGTGCTCTCTTTTCTTTTTTTTTTTGTTATGAGAGATACGGCTCTATCAATTTGATTAAAAGAAAATTGTAATTTGACAATCAGAAGCATAAGTAAAATGTTGGGATTGGAGGGCAGTAAATAGCACCCCTGCCCCACACATGGGACAGACAAGACAGCAGGTAAAGAGGGAACTGTCAGTCTTATTGATGCTGGAGCTGTTGGAGAACAGAGTTCCCCAATACTGTCCCCAGTTATACCTACCCAGCCCCAGGCAGTGCTGAGCAGTCTTGGATTCCCCACATAGAGCCCAACCCCCAACACTGAGGTATGGAGGGGTGGACCAGAGTGCCCGCACTCCACAGGCTGACCTACATACCTACACCCACCAGTCAGATGAGTCACTCCACCTCCTCCGGGAAGAAGTGAGTGAGGGATGGGCCTGGGTCCAGGGGGGTTTAGAAAAATCCTTCCATATGAAGACTAGAGGAGGAATTACATATCCCTCATACACCAGTAGAAAGTATTATGATTAAAAAACCAGATCCTTATGGTACCATCTGTGCATATTCCCTTCTTTTGGGATCTTGGGAAACGGGATGTTCCAAAGATGTGAATTTTTCAAATGGAAACTGCCACTAAATAAGTTGAACCTTTTTGATCAAAACATTTAAAAATCTATGGTTTTCCCCCTTGTTACCTTTAAGCAGTTTTTGCTGCATAATTCAACCTTTTTGTTGGTAGCTTTAGTTTCTCATTCTGCTTGTTGATTACTAGGCTGTGCTTTAATTCAGTGATGTCCTCAGGGACTTGAGCTGGGTTATAAGATGTTTGTTTCCTATGCAGAAGCCCAAACTCTTGGGCTTTTTGAATTTTACAGCCGTTTTTAATGATCTTTCTGCCTTATAAATTTGTTGTTGTTTCTTGCTCAGACTCAGAGCACCTGTCTTCGGTGGCTACCTTCTGTTCTGCTGTGGGCTAGGCTGCTTGACAACCAGCTTGCTATAATTGGGGGTAGAATACAAATAAGCAGGTTAAAAGTGAGGGGTTTCTGCAGTGTGAAATATATGAGCTCTGAATCACCTCTCATAATTTTCCAAGGTTAACAAAAATCACTCGCGTGATTTTAGCTGTGTTCTGGATAGCTGAGTTTGCCAGATGCCACCTGAGTGAGGTGTTGCTAAATTAAAGATAAGTGTAGCATTTAGGTGCACAGCCATTGGTAGCGTTGCTCAGAAACCTTACAAATCCTGGTCACAGCCAGGATTTGGGCCCTGGGCCTTACTGATGCCAGGGCCCGTATTCATTCCTACCTGCTAGGGCCTCCCAGTGCAGGTGACTTGGCCACATCCATAGCAGGTGAGGATTAGGGAAGGCAGCTGCTACCTGTAAGATAAGGGGCCTGGGCTAGATGGCCTTTCAGGCCTCTCCAGTCCAGATAATCTGATACATCGTGACAGCAAGGAGGACTGAATACTGTGCAGAAGCCCTAGGACCAGTCCCACTCTGCACCTAGGTCTCCTTGCAGGACCTTGCCATTGGAACTGGTCTCCTGGACTGCTTTCTGACCACGTGTGGAAGCCTGCATTGGAGATGTGACCGCGGGCAGCACTGAATCCCCTTTCTCCTAAGCTGCTCAAAGGGGGCGCCCATCCTGCCTCCCCAGCTCCCCAGTGCAGAGCACGGACGGAGACGGGGCAGCTCTGCTCTTGGCCGTGAGCATGAGCCTCTGCAGCCATCCTGCCTATTTTATGCAGGAATCACTGGATAAAGCCACTCAAGTGAGCTCAAATAAAGTGGAGGTGTTCGTGAGAGGAACCCAAGGCATATCCAGGAAATAAGCCCAGCCCTGGCCCCGTGGGCTCTGGTGCTGAAAACTACAAAGCCCTCAGGACGAGGTGGCCTGCCCAGCTCCCGCCTCCCTCTTTCTCCTCACATTCACACATGTTCCCTTGCTTGCTTGGCCTCCTGTATTGGCTTCCTGCTGCAAACTGCCTTCCTCTCCAGTTCCTCAGCAGCACACGGCATGAAACAGTTGCTCCAGCCCCAGCTCCGTGTCCTTTTAGTTCAAGTACCAACCAGTAGTTGACAAGAGCCACTGGCTCTCTTAATTCAAATTCACGAAAGGGAGAATCTTTTTGGTCCTTGGGTAGCCACTAGTGGCCCCTCTGTAGGTCTGGTGTGTGCATGCCCCTGGTCTAGTCAGCTGTGCGGTGGGGGGAGGAGTCATGGCGTCATGGTGCAAACCCAGCTCACTGGGCAGACTGGGCTCAGCGGAGGGTCTGCTCCCAGACAGGAGTCTTTAATACAGAGAGCCTGTATTACACTTCTGCTCTTTCAGATGTGGGAACCAGCCTGAAAGCATGTTTCAGAGGTAAAAGAACAATGATCATGAAACCCAAGTTAATTCCTTGTTTCCTCATCTCTGCCTCCCTGTACCCCTGGCTCAGCTTCAGTCCTTCACAACAAGTGGGAACAAAGTGTGGTTTGGAGCAAAGTTGAGTTAGGAAACCTAATGGTGTTTTCCTTACCAGGCACCGTGATAGGATGGAAAATCCCAGCTCTGTCCTTTCCTGGCTGTGTGGTCCTGGGCAAGTCACTTTACTTCTCTGAGCCATGGTTTCCCCATCTGAGAAATCAGGATGATAACAGTACCTATTGGACAGGATTGTTGGAAGATTAAATGAGATCACATGTCAGTTTATGGTATATGCCTAGCATAGCATATTAGTACGTGCTCAGAAAATGACCACTGTCAGTACTATTAGCTTTTTCTTCAATGCATTTGTTTTTTTATTTCTCCAACCACATATAATCCTCTGGGGAGACACAGCTCCATTTTGTAAGGCCTACCGGCTCTAACCACAGCGGCCAGCACACAGTGCTTGGTAGATATCTCTGTGGGAGGAGGAGGGAGAGGAGGAGGAAGACGGGGAGGAGGAGCTTCTGAATGCCAAAGCAAACCATCCAGCTGTGCCCCCATGTGCAGGCTGCTGTTCCTGAAGCTGAAGGCTCAGAACGCGAGAGAGAAGTTTGCCTTCTGCTCTGTGAAAGGCTGTGAGAGAATAAAGATAAAAGCTGTGATCCCGAAGAACGCAGGCGTCAGCGACTGCACGGCCACAGCCTACCCCAGGTTCGCCGAGAGGGCCGTGGTGGACGTGCCGATGCCCAAGAAGCTCTTCGGGTCTCAGCTGGTGAGTGGCTGACAGTGACCTGGGCCCCCTTTGCCTTCTGTCAGACCCAGACCCAGTTAGGATCCTCCCGGATGTCTGCTCAGCTGCACAACCGTTTCCTGTGCCTGGTGGCTCATGGGAGATGACCACCCATCGGGTTGTATACTGGACTCCTCAAACCTAACAACCACACGGGGTTTTATGTGTTTTCCAGAAGACGAAGGACCACTTCTTGGAGGTGAAGATGGAGAGTTCCAAACAGCGCTTCTTCCACCTGCTGAATGACTGTGCCTACATTGAAGTAAGCTCCTCCGACCCCTGCCGGGCCCTGGTCTGCTCACTGAGAGGTGGTGTTAGTTTCGTAAGGCTCTTGTCACAAACGACCACAAACCAGGTGGCTTAACACAACAGAAATTTATTCTCTTGCACTTCTAGAAACAGAAGTCCAAAATCAAGGTGTCGGCAGGGTTGGCTCCTTCGGGACGCTCTGAGGGAGAGTCTGTTCCAGGCCTCTTCTGACTTCTGGTGGCTGCTGGCAATCCTTGATGGTCCTTGGCTTGTAGATGCATCCCTCCAATCTCTGCCTCCATCTTGGCATGGTCTCTCCCATCTGTGTCTGAGTCTTGCATCTCCTTCTGCCTTCTCTTTTAGGGCACCTATCATTGGATTTAGGGCCCATCCTTGATCCAGGATGATCTCCTCTTGAGATCCTCAACTTAATTACATCTGCAAAGGCCCTTCCAAATAAGGTCACTTTCACAGGTTCCAGGTAGACATATCTTTTGGGGGGCGCCATCATTCAACCCACTACAGAGGGCTACAAGGAACTGATTTAAGTGGGTTTTATGCTTTGAACAGCTGCATAGGCAACCTCTATCTTTAGAGTCTGTATGGGAACCCCCGGCAGGCCATCCTCGGGGCTTTCAGGACCTCACCTCACACTTCGCGTTCCTTGTCATCTGCAGGTGGATGGGAAGAAGTACTCAGGCTCAGAAGACGGCATCCAGGTGATAGTGATTGACGGGAGCCAAGGGCATGTGGTGAGCCACGCGAGCTTCAGGAACGCCATTCTGCAGGGCATACCGTGGCAGGTCTTCAATTACCTGGCAGCCATCCCCGACAAGTGAGTCGGTGCCTCTGCTTCTGTAACTGGCCAATGGCACAACAGACCCCTGATCGAGGCCCCCTCCCTGTCCCTGGGACCTTTGTCACAGTGCAGTCTGGGAAAGCTTAGGGAGTCTCTACAGTCTGTGCACAAGTACTGGGTGCTGGGTTGGGAAACTTCTCCACCTGGTGGCCCTCACATTGGAGCCAGGGCCGCTGTGAATGTAGATCAGGCTGAGGCAGACCGTCCACCCAGTTACAAATGGGAAGCCTGCCCTGGCCCTCTTCCCCAGTCATGACACACTCTCCAGCATGCTGTCATCCCCTCCCACACCTTCAATACGATCCAAATGCTGGTGGCTTTTGAGTATCTCTAGCCCCAATCTCTCCTAAACTTCGGACATTCCTGTCCAACTGCTATTTGGACAGTGCCACCTGGATGTCTCCTATGGAACTGAATTCTCGTTGTTTTTGTTTAACCCCCCAGGCCAGCCACTCCTCTTGTTTTCCCTGTTTTGATTAAATGGTCATCCTCTAGCCAGATAGTTAGACCAGAGTCTAGGCATCGTGCTTGGCTCTTCTCTCTCTTTCATTTGGCCATGCTCTATAACCAGATCCCATCAACTCTTTATGCACTGTTGCTCTCCCACCAGTCCCCTCCACTGTGTCCTCTCCATCACGGCTCTGCCCGGGCCCTTCCTGTCTGGTGCCAATAGTGTTGGCACAGTCTCCTAATAGGCCTTCCTCCTCCAGTCTCCCCCACTCAAATCCATCTACCATACTGGCCGCGGGTTTGAACTTCTTACATGTAGTTATCTGCTGAGCCCTTTCCTAGAAATCTTTGGTAATTCCCCACCGCCTTCCAAACCTAACATGCAGATCACCTCTTTGGTGAGGTCTCTTCCAATCCAAACAAACGTCCTACCTCTATTAAAGCACTGCTCCCTGGGACCGGTGGACACATCCACTCCCCCATCTAGAGCATGGACTTCTTGATGTTGGGACCATGTCTAACTCATACTTGCATCTCTAGTTAAACGGGTGAGAATTCACTCAAGAGCCACCACCTGGCACAGCAGAAAGTCTAAGGAAAGTGCTTAAGGTGGTGTCTGCCACTTAGTAGGTGCTGGGCAAATACTTATTGATGAAATAGATGGACTTCCCAGATGCTAACTGTGTGATGGGCATGACCTGAACTGGACACTGTGTAAGATTCTGGAGAACGGGGTTTTTCTTAGCCACTTAGTCTCCGCTCCATTCCCCCAGCACAAGCTTCTTCAGCATTACATTTTCCACATGCAGACTCATACAGAAAGATCAGACTTACCAATTTGGGGGAAATACATTATCGTCTAGAGATCAGTCGTTTTCATGCCTTTTTTAGCCAGAGAACTTTTTCTTGAAATGCAGCAGGCTGCGAAAGCCTAGAATCAAGAAACTGAAATGCAGAGCTACTCTGTTTAGAACAGGGGCGAGCGGCGTGGGCCCACCCGGCCCGGGGCTCCTCTCAGCCGGGCAGCAGCCCCAAGGCACCTCGCTGGGGGAAGCCCTCACAGAGCACCTGGTGGGAGCCAGGCCCTGCTTGGCGCTGGGTACCCAGGCAGGAATTGGGTACCACCAGACCCCCTCTGACCTCTTGGAAAGGAGCAGGGAATGAGGCAAGGCAGGTTCTGCCCACTGTCGGTACAGGCCCAACCCAGGCCTGCCCACCCTTCCTACCCCATCCATAGGACTGCCACTGGCCCCAGCATCCCAGGAAAGAAGGAGGCAGCTGCTCACACCAAAAACATCAAGGGTGGCTTCTAGGAACTGCCTCTGCCCTGCCATCCCGTGGGAAATTCCATGCTGACAGGTGCAGGGGCTTGGAGGCCGTGAGAACCTCCCACCAGGCAGAGGAACACCCAGAGCGGGCAGGCAGGCTCCTGGGTGCCGAGAAGCCCTGTCTCTGTGTCCCTATCCTGTGAGCTGACCCAGAGCCCCATGTGGAGGGCATGACCTTTATTTAATTCCACCCCAGCAGGAAGGCTCAGCTGAGCCAAAGGGCCTTTAGCTTTTCTTCTGAATTGGAACAGTAGGGAAACAGCCTCCTGGGGACAGAGCCCAAATCCAAAGTTGAGGATGTGTTTGTGATGCTCCCACTCCTTAACAGCCACACACTCCTCGGGCTTTCCTCCCCAGTTTCCTGAGAGCCAAATGCAGCCCCCAGCTCCTTTCCCATCTGTTCTGACTGCACACGAGCCCTTTGCATTTTAAGAGCCTTACTTCTGCTCCCAATGGGACACGAGTGGGGGTAACAACAAGTTCCAGAATCCTGTACAGTTTTTCCATGTCTGGACTGTGGTCTGTGGTTATGAGATTCCTTTGAGATGCGAACTAGAAGCCCCACTGGGCCTCTGCCCTGTTTCTGTTCCTAGGGAGGTGTTCACTTCCTCCTGTCTGGCCTGGCATGCTGAGTCTGCCACCACGAAGGCTGCTGTCCCAGCGCTTTGGCCCGAACACAACCAGGGCAGGGGGTAGAGACTCCTTGCTCCCAAGTTGGGCTTTTGTAAGTTGGGACCTTCAGGCTGGGCACACCCATTGCTCTAGGCTCTGCCTGGACCCAAGCATGGCTCTCCTTCAGCAGGTCCTCTCAGATACTTAGTAACTATTTGCCTCCATCTCCCCATTTGCAAAATAGAGCAGTAACCCTGTTTCGCCTGACCAGAGGAGATGGTGACATGAACATGAGAGATTAACCCTCCCCTGACCACATGGTAACTCTGTTCTGACTTTCTCCATCACTGTGTTTCCATCCAAACAGGGTTGAGAACATTCAAATTAAGAAATGCATATTGAAGTCCTCCTGTGTCCCCTGCCCTGGCATAGATGCTGCCCCCACACCCCAGATTGTGTGCCCTGCCTACCTACTGTGTCCTCTTTGGGGACAGACATGTAAAGGCAGCGAGCTGAGTGCAGGCTTGGAGAAGGCCCTGGGCGCCAACTGCGGCCAGATGTGTGGGAGGGGTGTTGAGGATGTCGGTCACCACATGGAAAGAGCCGGTCAACTCACAACTCAGGAGAGGCTGCCCTTTGCCAAGTCCCTGGCCGGGCCTCTGGGACTGCTAAGTCAAGTCCCTGCACACACAATCCAACAGCCCTCCCAGTGAACTCACTCTAATTCGCCCTGTCCTTCTAGTCCTCTAATGGGTCCCTTCTTGCTCAGTTCCATAGTTCTCATGGCATCAAAGGGAAGATACATCTCCAGAGGCCCGTGGACCAGAGTGCTGGAGAAGCTCGGGGCAGACAAGGGTCTCAAGCTGAAAGGTAATGGGGTGGCACTGGGATTTACACTGACCCTGGGTCCAGCTGCGGGGTGTGGGCTGCTGCTACCCCTTGCTGAGACCAGAACCTGGGTACGGCCTCAGAATCCTCAATACAACTAGAGGTCTGTTGGGTTACATGGGCAAGATGCCACCTATTCACCATCCCTGCACAACAGCAGCTTCACTTTAACTTGCGACCAGACACTGGAAGGAAATTGCTAGAGTTGTTCACCCATCTACTCAGCAAGTGGCCCTTTTGTCAATAAAAGTATAGGCAGAAAAGTGGCTTGGTCTGACCCTCTGACCCCAGTTCCTGCTGCTCAGACCGGCCAGAGGTCCTACCTCTTCCTCAACATGCCAGCCAGTGTCCAACATTTGTACAGCCCTTGACAGCTTTCAGAGCTCTTACTTGTTCCTCAGAGGTGGGGAGGGAGGGAGAAAATGGAAGCCCAGAGAATCTATGTGGCTTGTCCAAGGTCACGCAGCTCTTTGGTGCGTGAAGCCAAGCACAGACCCCACAGGGAAGAAGCCAGCCAGGACAGAAATGTCAGCATGACACTCATTACCATTATCACAGACTGCAGAGAGGGTCCTGGGGAGGTTATGGGGGGAGGCGGAACAGCTCTACAGGTGATAATGAGCGTGCCCATTGTAGTTACCATGTAATGTTCAGCCCTGCACCTTGCTGAACATTTTATAATTATGTCACTTGTTCATTAATAACCTGTGCAACAGGTACTACTATTTCCATTTATGATGAGGAAACTGAGAATTAGACTGTTGAGTAACTTGCTTAAGATGAGAATTTGGGTCCTAATTTTTCTAATCCAATGCCAGGCTTCTTCGCTGCCATGCTATCCTGACTGCAAAAACCATCAAAACCAGCAGACCGTCATATGGGACATTTATCCCAGAGTAAAATAGGGAGCAACGAAAACCCTTTGAAAGAGCCGAAAGAGAAGCATCTTCTCCAGCCCCATCTTGAAATCATTTTGGAGCCTCTGTCTTTTAAATTAAGACCTCATTGCCAAAAGCTGATGTACATAGGGTGACCTAAGTTGAATGGTACTTTCCCAGTGGTGATAAATGTGTCCTGCTTGCCAGCTGGGCTGTTCCAGAGTGTAGACTTAGATCCCCACACTCCTCCGATGGTCAAACTCTGAATGCCAGCCAGGGAGTGCCGCGTGGGCTCAGGGTCTGGAGTTCTGGTCTGGGCTGCACTATTTAGTCTGCCTTGGACGATTCCTTCTAAAGCCACGGAACATGAAAGTGGGAGAAGAAATCTTGTAGATAAATGTTTGACAGATGGGGACACTGGGCTTAAGAGACGGGCATGGACTCACCGGTGATCATAGGGTCAGCTCAAAGGTGGCTGGGGCTCCTGGGAGGTCTGCTGTGGAAAGCAGAGCCACCGTCCTGCACAGGTGGCTGTGAGGCTCAGTGAGACCCTGAGTGCCCCGTACAAACAAACGTCAGATGCCATCAGTAGGTGGGCACAGAGCTCTTTGCAGGGGGACACAGTCTAGTGTGGCTAGGCCATGTGGTACCTGGTAGGGGCAGCAGAATGACAATGGGGAGCCTTGGAAGGTGGTGGGGTATAGATCTCCTCTCTTGGGGTTTCTGCTCATGTGACTCATCACTGCTTTTCAGAGAAAATGGCATTCATTGGGTTCAAAGGCAGCTTCCGGCCCACCTGGGTGACTCTGGACACTGATGACCACAAGGCCAAAATCTTCCAAGTTGTGCCCATCCCTGTGGTGAAGAAGAAGAAGTTGTAAGGATGGCTGCCTCCTCGGTGCTGCCCCATGGTGGACTATGATGTGGACTCTTGGCAGCAGACTAGGGCAGGATGGCTGGTTCCCCTGGCCCCTGTCTAGCAGCTGCTGGAAGGGCCATGTGTCAGTCCTGATGGGCCAAGGGAAGGCTATCAGAGACCCCTAGTGCTGCCAGCTGCCCCTACTCAAGTGTCTACCTGCAGCCCCAGGGGCGGTGTTGGCCGATGCTGGAAACTTCTTTCCTGCAGCCTCTTGGGTGCTTCTCTCCTATCCGTGCCTCTTCAGTGGGGGGTGTGGGGACCATACGAGGAGACCCAGGCTGTGCTGGCACCAAGGTCCCCTTTGGCAGGAGTCCTGCTCCAGCTGAGAGGCAGCCTGGGGGGCTGGGTCATTCACAGATCCCCATGCTCTCCAACACGTACATTAGGGTGCTAGATGTGGGAAAAAGAGCCCTGGTCTTAAGGAATCTTTATTCTTGTAAGCAAGAACCAACTTGCTAACTACTAATCCCTGGGATTAGGAGCTGCTGTATAGGCAGAGCTCGCCAAGGTGGAACCATCTACCCTTGGGAAGGGTGAGGCCTGCCTCTGGAGGGGTTCAACCGCTCAGGAGACTTCAGGTCCCAGTTTGGGAGTTGGACTAGGTGACTTTTAAAGGCCCTTTCACTTCTGAGATTCCTGAAGACTGTCGCTTTTCACATTGTACCTGGAACCCAGCAGTGGATAAGAACATTCTTTTCAGCCAACATCCATAATGCTGGTTGCCCCAGCGGGGCATACAGGATGGAGGGGTGAGGAGTAATGCCTGGAGCAAGGGGCTTGCCGTCTGGTATGATGGCAGTCAGGTGTTTGTGCCCTCTGATGCCAGGCAGAGAGAGTGAAGAGAGGTCAAATGGAGACCAATGACAGTTCAGAGGAGGGAAAGGTTTTATATGCTTGGGTGGGTCAGGAGGGCTTCCTACAGGAGGAGGCAATGGGCTTGCAGGAATAGTGGGCAGAGATGACGCAGCCTCTGGAGTGGTTCAGAGGCCGAGCCCTTCCTGCCCCCATCTGCCAAAGCTGAGTGACTGCAAGGTCACCCTTTGCCCTTGACTTGTTGGCTCACTCAGAAAGGAGAAGCAGAGAAGCGTGCATAGAGGGAGGAATGGGCTGGGCTTGCTATGCCCAGATCCCAGAGGAATTTGGTCCCCAGCCAGCCCCATCTCTGACTTCAGGAGAGGGTGGAGCCAAGTCGAGGGAAGCGAGCTCCTACTTTGAGGCCTCATTTGCTCTTTACTCGGGGACCTGAGAGCACTCCAGAGGCCCCGAGAACATGCTCACACTTCAGTGAGCCTGGGATTTCAGAGCTGGAAAGGACCTTAGGAAATATCTAGTCCAAAGCCTTCTTTTACAGATGGGGCACATGAGACCCTGAGATGGGAAAGAACCACAGGGCAAAGGCCAGGCCAGGCCGGAAGCCCACCGCCAGCACTTGATACCACACCACACTGCCTCACCCGCCGGCCTGGAGCATCTGGGCGCTCCTGCAGGAGCTTCCTGAAATGGGAGCAAGCCTCCTCAGAGGGAGAAAATGACCAGAATAGAAAGAGAATTGGCCAATGACTATTTCCCTCCCGGCCCTCTGCGCACACATGGCCGCCCTCCTCTGGCTGTGGCGGCCCCGCAGCCTCCACTCTGTTCAGACCACCTGCCATCCCCACGGGGCACAGGGCGGCTGCGGTGACCCACTGTGCTACCTGTCTCTGCAGGTCCACAGGTGCACCCAGCAGACAGCGCCGGCTCGCCAAAGTGCTTGTGGTGAGCCAACCAGGCTGCTCTCGGTCCACCCCAGGCCCTCGCAGTTACTGCTTCCTGCCCTGCTCTCTCCCTTGCCCAACCTGGAGGGAGCTAAGAGAGCTCCCAGAAGGAGGAAAACTCCACCTGTGGTTTATACTCTCTGGTGAGGTGCCAGGGTTCCTGGGTCCCATGAGGAGCTGCATTTGTCCCCTTTCCTGCCCCACCCACAAACTCTTCCCTTCTAGGAGGGCTTTCTTGGCTCCCTCTGTCCAGCTGCACCATGAGACTCAGCCAGCGAGTCCACACCCCAGGTTGAACCCACTGCAGAGAGGTATTTCCAACCAAACAGTTCTTTCAGCTGCTAGGAGGTGGTGATGGGACTCCGCCTCTTAAAACATGGCTGCTTCAAAGGCCCTAATCCCAGGAAGGACTCTTCCAGGCAGATTAGTGGCGACAGGGAGGAGTTACATGACCTCATGTTCTTGTCTAAGTTCTGTTGAGTTTTCCAAACTCCTTAATGCAAGGGTCTCACACTGTGAACCACTTAGGATGTGATCACTTCAAGTGGCCAGGAACTTTGACTGTCTGGTTCATTCATTTCAAACAATATCTATTTGAAAATCCTCAGAGTTGTACATATGTCTGACAGTGCAGGATTTGCACATAAAACCTTCTTTTCTAAACCATTCACCAAGAGCCAGGGTCCAGGTGTGTTCTTGGGAGCTCAAATTTTTTGTTGCTTACAGAATTGTTCTTGTCATCCTGTTTGTAAGCACGAAAACAAGTTAGGCCTGCAAGGAAAACAACCTCCTCTGAAATGCTTGTCTTTTTCCTGTTGCCGAAATAGCTGGTCCTTTTTCGGGAATTAGATATATAGTCTGTTTTGTTTGTGAACATTTCTTGTAGGCATCACCATCAACAAAGATATATTTTCTATTTATTTATTATATATGCACTTCGAGAAGTCATTGTCAGAGAAATGAAGAATTGTCTTAAATGTCACGTTTGGGGATGTCCTTTGGACTACTTGAAGGAGTGTACCCAGAGCCTTCTGCTAGCAGCAGAGGACACGAGCTCTGGTTTGGAAAATCTTGCTATATCATAGTAAACATACAAAGAATGCCATCATCCTGTCTGCTTGTTTTGTTTTCCATTAATGTGGGCCTCATTTTAGGCCAGATATCTAAGGAAAATAAGATTGATGAAATTACCTGATGGATCTGCCTCTCTCACTTCCATAGCCTTGTTCCCAAGAATTATTCATATATCAAAGTTCGACCTCACCCTGCCCCAAAGGGGCGCCCATAAGAGCTAGTGGAAATGGTCCTATGAGAAAGAAGATGTCATTCACGTGACTGGCCATGCCCGGGGACATGCTGTGTCTGCTATGCTCCTAAACCATCAGTAAGTTGTCAGGGCGGCACCCTCCCCCGAGGGAAGCCAGGAGGGGCCAACAGGGTCTGGATTAGAAGCAGATATAAAACATTCTCAGCCTCACAGAAAGCTCTCTTGATTTCCGGAGAGCTGTTGGGGCTCATACATTGGACTTTTAACATCCGTGCCCCTAGGGGGTGTGTATGTTTATTTAGTCCACTTAAAGGGACTGGCATCAGATTGGTGGGTATCAAGTTGTGAATCAACAAACACACCTGGCAGACCAGCTTAGGCATCCATGTCAGCATGCGGTGGAGAATACAAGACCCCTGCCCTCAAGAAACTTCACTTGGAGGAAGAGATCACATTTGCACACTCATTTGACAAATATTTTTGAGACCTGCTCTGTGCCAGGCACTGCCAAAAGAAGAACATAAAAGACCCCATGGAGAACACGTAGCTCCACGTCCCGTGAGTGGGGGGGGTAGAGTCCTGCAGGCAGGGAGGAATTATCTCCTTGAGTTGTCAGGGGCCACTGAGTGGAGGCGGGACTGGCAGTCAGGGGCAGATGAGGGATGGGGTCTTTTCATGAGGCACAGCCTGGGCAAAAGGAAAGTGCCAGAGCTGTGGCCTTGAGGATGGCTGGGCCTAAATTGGGAGCAGGGGGGAGAAGGGAGGTGGGAAGGTGGGTCAGCCAGTCACTGGACAGGTTTCAGGGACCACTGGATCTGATGGGGGTCCCTAGTGACTTCTCAGCAGCTTCACTGGTGGGAGGAGGGCACAGCCCACTGGCTGATTCAGTTGGTGACGTGGAAAAGGCATCTGGGGAGGCTAGGGAACAGGTTCAAATGAAGAGTCAACTGGGCAACGGGAGATGCCCCCAGCTAGACACAGAGCGAGAGGAGCCGTAGATAAACCAGAGTGGAGAGAGAGGTAGGACTGGGTACCCATCAACATTTGTCCCGTCGAGTCCCCAGAGGTCCACAGGACATCACCGCACAGGACATTAGTGACAAGGGGAGCACACTAGCCCCTGTTGCACGGAGACAGACTAGGAAGACACTCCACCTGACCATCTGGGAGGGGACGCAGGTCAGAGAAGAGGCAGAGGGGGTTTTGCAGAGCGAGTAGGAATTGAGGAAGTGAAGAAGGGCAGGAAGAACATTCCTGATGAGAATAGGGCTTACAAAGCCCAGAGGCAAAGGCAGGAGGAGAGGCTGCAGGGAAGGGGGTGGGGCTCTTCCCCACAGAGGGGAGGGAGGAGACAGATGTCCACTCAGAGATAACTTGGGATGGCCTTGAGAGGTCAGTAAAGTCAGAGTGAAGACCATCTGCTTAAATGCAGTAGTATGAAGTCAGAAGCAGGAGTTTGGGAATTCTGTGCCCAGATCCACAGGACAACCCAAGCTGGACACACAGGCAGTCCCTGACCTGGCATCTGCCTGCATCTCCGGCCTCATCACCCGCCACTGCCTCTCCATCTCCCGCTGGGCCCCAGACACATAGAAATCTCATCACTTCTCTCCACCCAAGGGGCTTAGTGTCCCCACAGCATCGCCTGTGACCTGTCCCCTCCACCTGGCACACTTTCCCTCTGTCTTCTCCACTTGGCTTATGCCTACTCACTCTCTAAGCCTTTGTTCCACAAAAAGCCTTCTCTGACCCACTCTGGCCCCATGGCACCCTCCTCCAGGACGGCAGGCTGTCACTCACCCCTTCCACCCAGAGGCTTCCGTGGGGCAGAGCCCTGCTCTATGGATGGACATCGTGTGCTGAATGAAGGCATAGCTGACCCAGTCTCCTCTTTCTGTCACTGAAGTCAGGACTCAGCTCCTCTCCTCTCCTCCCTGAGCTCCCGTACCCCAGGGTCTGGGGAAGGGGGAAGTCTTCTCCTCAGGGCAGGGAAAGGAGTAGGAAGTGGAGGGGAGAAGCACTGCTCCCATCGGGGAGAAGCAGGTCCGCAGGCACCTGGCAGGGCCCTCACTCCTCGGGGCTGAGCTGGGGGTGGGCAGGGGAGCGGGTGGGGATGGGAGGAGGGAGAGGAACTCACTGTTCCAGGCCAGGGGCCCCCTTCTCCCCCACTATTCTCCCTGGCCTCCCTCGGAGAAAACAGTCACAAGAATCAAAGGCGGTATGCAATATTCACGAAAGTGCTTTGCCAGCTCTGAAGGCTGCTACTCTGTGCGGTCTGTGGACCAGCAGCAACAGCACCATCACCCAGGAACCTGCTGGAAATGCAGCCTCGCGGGCCTTCCCAGATCT